GACTCCTCACTGCCCGGCTCAGCCGGGCGGGCGGACCAGCGAACCGGGCGTGGGGTGGCCCCCGGGGGCGCGGCGCAGGTGGCTGGGGCCCAGGACTCCCGGCGACCCGCGGAGCTCCAAAGCCCGGTAGCTGCGGCGCTCAGCGGGTCTATTGAGAATCGATAGCAGCTCCAGGCAGCACCATGTCTCCGGCAGCGGAGCCCCCGCTAGCCGGCCGGGCAGCTGTTCGGAGTGGCCCGGCGGGCGGCGCGGCGGTGGCGGCTCTGGTCGCCCGGGCGCAGTAGCGGGCAAGGCGGGCGCGAGGCCAGGCGCCTCCCGGGCCCCCTCCCGCCCCCGCAGCCCAACTCTAGACCGGCCAAAACAAGTTGCGCCAGCGGCGGACAGCCTGGCTAAGGAGCGGCCGGCGCGCCATGCCGGCTGTCAAGAAGGAGCTCCCGGGCCGCGAGGACCTGGCCCTAGCCCTGGCCACCTTCCACCCGTCCCTGGCCGCGCTGCCGCTGCCACCGCTACCGGGTTACCTGGCGCCGCTACCCGCCGCTGCCGCCCTACCCCCAGCAGCCTCGCTGCCCGCCTCCGCCGCCGGCTATGAGGCACTGTTGGCGCCGCCACTCCGCGCCTCTCGCGCCTACCTGAGCCTGCACGAAGCCGCCGCGCACCTCCACCTGCCCCGGGACCCGCTGGCCCTTGAGCGCTTCTCAGCCGCTGTGACTGCAGCGCCAGACTTCCAGCCGCTGTTGGACAACGGCGAGCCGTGCATCGAGGTGGAGTGCGGCGCCAACCGCGCGCTGCTATACGTGCGCAAACTCTGCCAGGGCAGCAAAGGCCCATCCATCCGCCACCGCGGCGAGTGGCTCACGCCCAATGAGTTTCAGTTCGTCAGCGGCCGCGAGACAGCCAAGGACTGGAAGCGCAGCATCCGCCACAAAGGTGCGGCCACGGTGGGAGACCCGCGGGTTGGACCCCTGACTCCCAGGGGACCCGCGGACCGGACCGCCCTCACTCGCTTCCAGGGAGACCGATCTCGGCCCCGAGGGGGCGCTGCATGCCCGGGGTTGAGCCGGAACAGCCCCCACCCCGCAGTGTCACTGTCGGGCCGGAGCAGAGGCCCAGGGGAAGTTGACAAGAACTCGGGGGAGCCGGCAGAAGGTCGGCCCGGCGGGACACCTTCCTGCCGGAGCGCGGACCTCGGTTCCGGCGAGCGTAGAGGGGTACACGTGCAGTCAGGTTGCGGGGCGCGCTAGTGGAGAGAGAGGAAAGGCATGGGGGCGGTGCGGGCAGGTGGGGGCAGCGCGGGGACGCGCGTCGCACTGGGGACGCGCGCAGAGACCGAGTGGCTGGGCCAGGCGCAGACTCTTCGGGCTCTGGCGGGAACCTGTTCCAAGGGCGCAACGTGGGGGCGCCTGAGTAGGAACGCGGGGGAACGCGGTGAGAACTAGGCGCAGTGAATGAGTTGGAAAGTTAAGGACCGGTGGCACTCGACTAGGGTTCGCGGCTCAGCGGTGGTCACCCCTTCCCGCCACTGGGGTGGGCGCAGACCCGGGTCCGTACGCTTCGCTCCTCTGCACCGGGGTTCTGCCTTCCTTGGAGCGGCCCCCAACTAGATGAAGAGAGATGCGGCCTGGAGTGGGTGGAGCGCGGGGAGGGACATGGAGGCGGGGTGGAGGCCGCGCCTCTGCCGGGAAGGGCGCTTGCCCTGAATTGGGTTGAGTCCTAAAGGTCCCAGCGGCGGCATGCACAGGGGTGGGCCAGGCAGCGGCTCGGGAAGTTGCACGGAGGTGGGAAGGGGATGATGTGCTTCATACACGTGCGGCTGGCTGCACCTCTGGAAGGCATGCCACCCACGCGAGCTTCTGCGGTGCCTATCGACCGGTGCAGCCTCTGGCTCTCCTCACAGGGAAAAGTCTGAAGACGCTTATGTCCAAGGGCATCCTGCAGGTGCACCCTCCAATCTGTGACTGTCCCGGCTGCCGAATCTCCTCCCCCGTGGTAAGAAAGGGAGGTGATTGGGGCTGTGGGGTCGTAATGCTTTGCGATTGTGCTTTGTGTTCGAGGATGGGGAGTTGTGGCTGCAACCCTCAGAGGGTGCTGGAGGGCGACTCAGGGAAATGGGGAAAAATCAGAAGCAGGGCCAGAATCATGGGATATCCCAGCTTCCTCATCGTTTGAATGCAGGACTGTGGCCTACCTGTGGTCCTGGAGTCTTATGAGTGTTGAAGAGAAGCCCAGGAGGAGGGGGTCCTCTCCCTGGATGGTGTCACCTGGATTGAGCCAGGGGCTCCGCCCCTCTCACAGGTCTGGGGGGGTGGGGAGTCACCGTGTTATCTGGCTCAAACGTGAACAGTGCCAATGCAGAGGAACACTAATTCTGGGGTGACCACAGCTTTGGATTTGAGTGAATATCTCGAATGCATCTCTAGGGTATTGGGGACTGCCCTGGAAGGACCTGTTTGCCCAAGAATGTCCTAGGGACCCAGTCTGGTTGGGGCATGGTTCATGCACTGAGGCCTTTGAGGACAAGAGAGTTGGGATGGGATGGAGGCTGGGGAGCCTGCAGTGCCCTAACCCAAGGTAGAAATCTGGGGTGCCCTCATGGAGGAGTGGGAGAAAGTGGTTCCCTGGGCAGCGAGGCACAGTCTGAAACTGCACCCTGAGATGGTCCAACCTGGCACTCCAGGGAGAACTGAGTGAAGTCGAGTATTCTTGGGGGTATTCTTGGCTCTTTTCAGAAGCCTCTCTAGGAAGGGGTGGGAGCAAGGGGCCTGCAGAAGCTGCTATGAAAGCTTGTTTACTATGACTGTTGGGAGGGTGGGCGAGGGGGAGGGGAGTCCGCAGGGGGCAGAGCACACTTCTGGACACAGGTTGAAAACTGAGTATAGGTTGATGCTCACCTCCATAGGCAGGGCTGTCCCCTCAAATACTACACAGGTCACCCTGTGTCCATTCCAGGAGTCCTCATGCGCCACTGGACCCAGACTAACCAGACTCATGGATTAGTTCTTGAGCTTACCCACCTATTGCATAAGGCAAGAAGCTAGATGGAAGACCCCATTTCCCCCCAACTGCTCCCCCTTCTCCATGCAGACAGTGCTTAAGCAGGGTCCTCTGAGGAACCCCAGACTGGCCTAGGATTTCTGTGCTGGGAGGGGGGTGCTAAGGCCCGGTTTCAGTTCACCCATCCCATGCATTATTGCTATGGTGGTTAAGTGCCATTGAATCGTTTCAGCTCATAGACACCCTGTATAGGCTCTTCAAGGCTTTAAATCTTTGTGGGAGCAGAAAGCCTCATCTTTCTCCTATGGAGTGACTGGTGGACTCGAACCATGGATCTTGTGGTTCACAGTCCAGTGCTTGCTGTATAGAGCCATCATGCTCCCTGTGTTAGTGTAGCTGGGCATATTTTTTCTTCACCTCCAAGGGGAACCCTATGACTCAGAGAAGAATGGGGCCATGGCCCGTGGCTGCCTTCCCTGAATGTTCCTCCTCCTGATACTGGTAGTCCCTTCCAGGTTTGCCTTGCACCTCTCCCTTGGGAAAACCTCCACAGGCCTCCTTGGCTTCCCAGCCACCACCACCTTTGTTACTCAGAGTCCATCCCCAATCATACATGGCCAGGTCAGCATGTGGTGTACACTTCATGGTCACAGATACCTCAGGGGACAGAGTGGGGTCACACCCCTTTCTGCTGTCTTGGCCTGCCCCCTCCCAATGATCTGGGCTTGGCTGGGGACAGAGGCCCTGCCACCCAGTTCGGACATTTGTGAGCTCTTAGAGGGACAAGGGGTGGCATCTTGGCCTCAAGCTCACAAGACTCTGAAGCTATTACCCAGACAGCAGCCTCTTGTCCTCAGCAACCCCCTTGGATGCTGTTGCACTCAGCACAACACATTGGTCGGCAGCGCCAGGGACACCTCTGCCACATCCTGACCTCCAGCCAAGGGCAGTCCTGCTGTCTTGTCCCTCATGTCTGATACAAAGGTAGGACCTCTCAAGGCCCTCCTAGGCTGAGGCTGACTTCTTCCCAAGGCCAGGTCCTGGTGTCTGGGCTACAGCAGGCTAGAGAGGGACGGAGCCAAGCAGGGATTTCCCAGTTGCGTGTACCCACCAGGAAGCTCTCTGGCTCTTTCCCAAGCCCACATTTGGCCCAGATGCACCAGACCTGTCTTCAGATCCCACTGGCCCCCTCATGCTCATCCTGATACTGCCAGGTCAGTCAACCCGCAGTGTGTGTTGCAGAGAAAGATACAAGGGTGTCTCCAGCAAGTGTGGGGAGAACATAGCCCCTGGGTCTTTTGGGGACAACTGTGGCAGGAGATCATAGCCCCAGATCCTTTGGGTGGACTGTAGCCCCCATATCCTATAGACAGGGCAGGCCATAGTCTCAGATCCTATGTGGAAGAGTGGGACGCTGTAGCCCCTGGATCCTGTGGAGGGGACGTACCACAGTCCTGGATCATATCTGCTGAAACCTGTGGTTGTTGGAGACGTGTCTGGTGGTGACAGTAGAAGGTACAAAGGTGTAGACCTTTTACCCTGGAGGATATCATGGACTAGGACTCCTGTGAAGCCCTCTCAAGCTCACAGATGTGATGGGACATGTCCTGGTAATGGGGAGTGGGGATTGGGAAGAGAGAGGGAAGGAGGCTGGGAATGCCCTGGGTGGTTGAAGAGATGAGCGGGAATCAGAGAATCCCAAGGCCCCACCACCTTCCTGAACCAGTAGCCCAATGGAAAATGATCAATCACTTTCCTTCTTTGTCCCAGGGTTGGTGGGGTCTACCAGTAGAACTGCCCTATCTGAGGACTCACCTCCCATATACTTTCTCTGAACACATGTGGGTCCTCAATGCACATGGGCTCTGAGCATGCCCACACTCTCTGGGGTCTTATGTGTGTGCATGTCTGTATCCACAAGAATCACTTCCTGCCTCGTCCATCCCCCCACACACCCTCCCTCACACACCATATGCACAGTGTCTCATAGGCTGGGCCTTGGGGAGAAATCTGAATCCCTCACTCTGGGACCCTCAGGGCTGATCTGGCTGCAAAGGGGGCTCCTTGGGCCATGAGGTTCAGCAGGGACTGAGAATGCCTGCTCTGTGCATGGCCCGAGACTTGGCCAGTCACAGTTCTACAATCCCAAATCCAAGCCAGGCTACAAACCGCTTGGAGTTGGGCTCTACGCAGCAACCATGGAGTGCAGAGGGGCCATGCTTGTCGATGTTGGCACTGGTTTGAGTGTTCATGCTGGACTATGCTTGTCAAAGCTGGCTTCAGTTTGGGGGTTCACACTGGACCATGCTTCTTAACATTAGTATCAATTTGACGTTCACACTAGACTGTGCTTGTTAACGTTGGTACTGATTTGGGGTGCCAGCAGGAGACACTGGGAACCCAAGAGGGGAGCAGTGTGAAGAATATGCTGCTTACTCCCACCCACTCCCCCCAACACACACACACACCCCACAGTCACAAGTTTCGTGCCCGTTTTCAGGGATCTGGGGCAGTCTAGAGTCTGAACAGGGAAGCCCCTAGGACACCAGGCCCAGCCTTGTACCTTCTCAGTTCTCTGGACATGGGGGCAGTGCAGACCCCAGGTCCTGGCCTGAGCCCTCTCTGGCCAGTTGTAGCTTCTGAAGCCTCTTCTGGATCGGGGGTTCCATGACAGCCTGTTTGTCCTCTGTGATGGCCCCAAGAGTTCCTGTGACCCCCAAGCCTGGGAGTAGTCTGATCCTCCTTTTCTCCCACCTGCTTAGAACCGGGGACGGCTAGCAGACAAGAGGACCATTGCCCTGCCCTCTGCACGTGTCCTGAAGAAGGAGCCAGCCCCCAGCTTCCTGGCTAGTGATGGCGTCATTGATGGGAGCAGCCCGGCCTGCAGGCGGCGGCTGGGTATGAAGCGAGAGGACGATCTACGCGTCAGTATCATGAAGAGAAGGTGCTTGGCTGGGCCTCCAAGAATGCGGGGCATCGGGGAGGAGATGAGAAAGATGGGGAAAGGAAGACAAGAGGGAGGTGCAGGGCCTGGCTTGCTGGTCCCATTTCAGGACAGGAAGCAGAGTCTGTGCCCAGGGTCCACCTGGTAAGGGCCATCTTGCCCCGTGGGGACTGTGTTGGGGACTCTCTACTTCTCACTGTCTCTCCAGACTTGGCCCTGATCTTCCTGATCGCTGCCTCCCCCCACCCAGAAAAGGCACCTTCCATCTGCATTCATCCATCTGTCCATTTGTCCATTCATCTAACACATGTTTCTGGAGAACCTGTTATATATTCCCAGGAGTTCCAGACCTTTCCTTTTCCCACTTAACCTTGAAAAATGTACCCATTTACCCCCTAAAATAACTCTCTAGAATCCCAAGTCTGGCCACTGCACACCCTGTTTGCCCATCCCTGCCCTGTCCACATTGGTTCCTAGCAACCCTCCCTTCAAGCATGAGGTCTTTGAGGGAAGACCCCTAACCCACTGACCTGACCTCTTTCCCCACAGGGTCCACACCCACTGGGACGTGAACATCTCCTTCCGAGAGACATCCTGTAGGTAGGAGCACAAATGTGCTGGTGGCTTGGTCTGCTCTGACTCCTGAGCAGCCTGCCTGCTGTCTGTGGGTCTGTCCTTTGTTTGCTATCTCCTGTGCGATTTTACCTTGGCCCCTTGCCCTGGGGCTTGCTCTGGTCTGTGCAGACTCAAAGACCGGCTGTAGACCATGGGTGGGAAACAGAGTGAATCCAAGGGCAGGAAGTGAAAACGAGGGGGCTTGAGAAGGGGCAGGGGGGGCAGGTTTCTGGTGCTCAGGGTCAAGTGCAGCACCAGGGTCTTCATCACAGCTGGGTATATAGGGGAGTCCCTGAGGCACCCTCCCCACCCCCACCAGGGCTCAGGCAGGATGTGTGGTTATTTATATCTCTGAGATAGTGCCAGGGTCCTGGAGCTGAATTACAATAAAAACCTCTTTAAACTTATTTCCACCTCATTTTGGAGTTGCCAGCTCAACTACTCATTTTTATGAAACGTCATGAACATTGATGACATTTTGAGCCTTTACCTTGGGACATTACGAAATATCGACGCAGCCTAAAGGGGATCAAAGTGCTGCCCCCACCCAGGAGAGCTCCTCCTCTTGGCTGTCTCCACCCCCGCCCTGACCAAGGGAAGCAGGGGCTGTTGACCATTTCAGGAGGGGTTAGACAATGTTCTGATTTCACTGGGGGAGCCACTCCACTGCCTCCTAACTCTGTCTCTCTTCCTGCCTCTTCATGGTCCTGCTCGTCTGCCTTTCTTTCTCTGGTCTCCTGTCTCTGTCCATCTACTTGCATCATCTGTCTGTCTGTCTTTATCCCTGTCTCTGTCCATCTGTCCATCAGTCTCCACTTTATGTTTTCACCCTTTTGTCTCCATCCCCATCTCCATCCACCTGTCTGTTTCCACCGCTCCATATGTCCCTTCACTCTTCTCCACCTGGGTGTCTGTCTAACTCCATCCCCCTGTCTCCATCCCTCAATCAGTCTGTTTGGTTAGAGTAGTTGAAGTGAGCAACATCTCATATGCTGGGCTTTGCTGGGTGTGTCCCTCTGGCCCCTAGGCAGCAAATACTCACTGGTCCATGAAGGACTGGACAGTGTTTATATGCGGGATGTGGTCCCTGGTCTCCTGAATGTCCTCCTCCTCAGCTTTCTTGGAGAAATGGGTTTGAGGTGACTTTTCGTTTGTTTACGCAGCACTCGGTGTAATTTGTTTCTTGGAGCCAGACGGTCCTCGTGGAGAGAAACCCAAGGCAGAAAGGCAGAAGGTCCACAGGCAGGGTATTCTAGTCTCTGGATTCAAGACAGACTCCAGGGGGTCCTCAGTGTCCCCATTTCAATGTCTGGTGATTCTCAGGTGTCTGTGTAGGTGCTGGGCAGGGGATCATGGAGAGCAAACCAGGAGGCCCTTCCTTTCTGAGTCTTTGGGAAGCACATCCACCTCCCATGAGAGTCTGGGGAAGGACCCCTGGCAGCAGGACATCCCTGAAGCCTGGGCTGCCCTCCCCATCCCTAGTGCTGAGAATAGCAGTTCTTGCTCTGACTCCCCCACAGCTCTCACACTGGTGAGGATGATGGAGGGGATGAGATTCGCTGCCAATTAATCCCATAAAGTACTTACCCAGGCCCACCTGCCCTCCTATTTGTATGGGGGGTGTTGAGGGGACCCACATCTGGGTCTCCCAGAAGGCTCTGGAGCCAGCTCCAGCCTAGCCTTTGGTGCTGAAACGGATCTGCTTAGGAGCCAGCCTGGATTATCCCCGGCTGCTGGCCCAGGCCAAGGAGGCTATTTAATGAGGTTTAGGGTTGGAGTTCCCTGGTCACTCGTGGAGGCTCTGTGTGCTATGGCCCAGCCAGGAGGCCGCTCCATCACAGGTGGGCCGGGCAAGAGGCATGGGGGCGCAGTGTGTGGAGGGTGGGGGCCTGACCATGTGCTTGAGCGGCAGGCAGCCTTGCTGGGGTCCTTCTCGCCTCCTCCTCTCTGGGGTCTGTGGGTATGGAATTGAGCTGAATTAGCAGGAAGAAAGAAAGGAACAAAAGAGTTAAACATGCATTTACCCCAAGTTCACATAAGCCTGACTTAAGGATGATTCTTAGGCCCAATGGTCCATGTGTAGCTGTGCTTATGTGCATATTTATGTATCTCCTGTGCATGTATGTATATATATGTCCCTGCCCCCACATGCACATTTGTATGTGTGTGTGTCTATGTCCCTGTCTGTGCACTTATCTCCATGTGTGCATATGTGTATGTTCTCACGTACACTGTATTTCTCTGTATATACACATGCATGTGGGCGTCGCTGCACATATGTGTGCTTGTATTCTCATCTGTGTATGCATACTTGCATGAGTCTGTGTCCCCATGTGTACACATATCACTCTGTGTGATCATACACATTCCTGTGTGTGCATGTGTGTGCCATAGGACTTTGGTCTGAACTGGTTTTCATGTTAGAAGACATTGGATGTTTTATTTACCTGGGGTGGGGGGAACTGCAAGTTTTGATTGAGATGATCCAAGCCACATTCTTAGTGCGCCAGTGAGGCCAGCGCCTGTGGCAGGTTTGTCTTTTCCGAGAGCCCCATAGCTGGGAGTCCTATCTAGAGAGAGCAGGGACAAGACTGTCTTGGAGCCAGGCCGAATCTGTCTGAGCTTGAGGTCTCAGCTGAGAGACCTTGATCCCCTCCAAGAAAGGTGGTGCACCTGCAGGTCCTGAATGCTTGTCACCACTGCTATGCTTGTGCCTTGTGTCCATTGGAATTGCTGAGCCCAGTCTGGGCTGTTGAGCTGCCTCAGCTGCCTGCCCACTGCCCCTCTTGCTTTGCTACAGCCAGGACAGTGACCTCTCCACCCTCATATCCAGTGTGCATCGAAGCCGCCACCTCGTGATGCCTGAGCCCCAGAGCCGTTGTGAATTCCAGAGAGGCAGTACAGAACTGGGCCTGGGAGCCACAGGTGAGGGCTGGGGTTGGGGGCTGGGGTGTGCAAGACGGGGATAGCCCCACCCTCATCCAAGCGGTCTGTGTTCAGCAGCCTGGACGCGCGCCACCCCCAGCAGTCTTGGCTGGCAGCCAGGAGGCCAGTGAGGCGGAGGTGGCGAGGCCGCCTGTCCCCTGGGGCACCGCGTGATGGTAATTGTGTTAATCCCAGCCAGGCAGACAGGAGGCGGGGCTGTGGCTCCACAGCCGCTGCTGCTGGGGGAGCTTGGAGCCTCCAAAGCCACTGCTACCCTCCTCTTGGGATGCAGGCTCTTAGACCAACACACGCGACTCTCACAGAGGCCCATAAATGGCTGTAACTGCTCATACGTGGGCAGTGACTCATTCACGTCTAGCTTGGAGTACCTACACCTGCCCAGAGAAACCGTAGCCCACAGCGCATCCGGAGCTCAGAGAGAGGGGCAGCCTTGGGGACCTGGCCCTGACGGAAGGGGTACCTCAAAGAGTGTGGAGGGGGTGGGAGAGCAGACTAGAGTCCCAATGACCTGGCCACTCTCAGGAAGGCTGGATGGCCTGTGATCTGCACCCCTAACTGCACACACCCCACCCCACCCCCAGTCTCGCCTGCCTTGGAAGGCAAGGGCTGCTTTGAGCTGGGCTGGATGAGTGAGGCGGCCAAGCGGCTGATAAAATCTAATTGCCCCATCGATTGGGCGGAGTGGTTCTGCCATGATTGAGATGTTGAGAGCCAGCAGGACCTCCCTGTGGCCGCCTACACACACACACACACACACAGTCCCCATGGCACACAGGCATGCTTGTGCGTGTGCATACACAAAATGTGTGCCCAACCATACCCTGCTCCCACTCACTCCTGTACCCTTGAGTCCTCAAGTGCATTTGTACAGAGTATAGAGTGTGTAGATGGACACTTGGTATCACACGCTTTGCCTGAAGTACCCTGTATGTACCATGCATGTGTCACATGTGTACAGCCAGACTTCAAATGGGTATCCTTGCCAGGGTCCTGCCCCAGGGCTGTAATCCTCTATTTGGCTAGTGGTGGTCACCTAGTGAACTCCAACATCGCCCCAAATATAGACACACTTGGACATGAGTCTCTTCCTGTCCTTGTCAGGGACTGGGCATGGGGCGTGTGCCGGCATCTGTGATGGTGTGAGCCTTTGAATGTGTCTGCAGGCGGCCCTGAGGTGCCCCTTCTGTCCCCAGTCTGTTCTGGGCTTCCAGGAGCAGAGAGGAGCCCCCACTCTCATCCCACCCAGAAAGGGGAGGGGAGTTCAAGCTGCCTGGAAAGTTGGAAACAGGTCTCTGCTCAGGGACAGCCTCTGGGTTATTTATAGAATGATCCCCTTCCTGAGTCTGCCCCTAGAGGGATGGGTGCGGGGCTACTGTAGGGGCTGTGCAAATCTCTTCCCACTCAGAAGACCTAGGAAGCAGGCCTACCCACCCAGACTCTCCTCAGTGCTGCCTCCAGCCCATCCTGTGGTGCTCTGCCTGTCCAGTCCTCCACCACTGTCCCTTGATTCGGGGCAGGGCTGGGGCTGGGGGCTAGGCTGCCCAGGCCAGTGGCTGCAAGGTGGCGAGATCAATAAGTTATTAGCACCATTCTGTCAGCTGTAATGTGGAGATTGATCGGCTGTTCTGACGCCAAGGCACTTCCCTGGCCTGATAAAAATGACAGATTAAGGGAATAAGAAAACGGAATTAAGCTTTGGAGCTGACGGCTAGGCTTCCGGGGTGGGCTTGGGCCTGGGAGTCTGTTCATCTAGGTGTCATGGTGGGCCTGGGTCCCAGTGGGGGCCATCACCCACCCACTGAGAGGCTCCTGAGAGGGCTCATGTACTTTTTTGAAGGTGATCAGGTTGGGTGAATGATGTAGGAGATTCTGGACATGAGTTTGAGGTGCCTGTGGGGCTCAAACTGGCATGGGAGATGGATTTGGCTGGTTGGGACCTCTGGGTGGGCCTATGGACAGTCCTTTGTGGGACAGAGGGGGTAGCCCCAGCCATGGGAGCTCAGGGCTAGTCAAGCAGAGGTACTGACTAGGGGATGGGGTATGCTTTCTTAAAATTCTTTTCCCACCCCCAACCCCAGCTGGACTTCAGACCCTGTGTCCCCTGCCCTAGACCCTTCATCCCATGCCCTCCCCTGTGTCCACCAAATCAAAAAGCATTTTGTTTTATTGTATCTCTGCCAAGAACCCTTATTTGACTTAAGAAGTAGCAGAGAAGCCTTATAGTGAATCTGATTAGGCTGAAGGGGTAGCAGGGAACCTAGGGGGTTCCTGAACTGCTCCCCCCGCCCGGCCCCTCATGCTGCATCTCACACATGCCCCAGAGTCCAGGGGCAGGCTGCATTCGCGCCCTTCCCTCACCCCTTCATGATGTCCTTGGTCACTGGAACTCTGACCTGGAACTGGCCTTGGTCTACCAGGACTGATAGGGTTGTGCATAGAAGACAGGGGTTGGGGTCCCTTCCTGGTGCCATGTGTTGCTGAGACATGCTTCCTACAGGTGACCTGTTGGGTAAGAGACTGGGCCCGTCTCCCCACATCAGCATTGACTGCCCTTCGGAGAAGAAGGCCAGAAGCGAGTCCCCCGCAGGTGGGAGCCCTATGAGGGGAAAGGTCTCCTTGGAGGAGGGAGGGGGAGCTGAGTCACTGAGAGTGCTGGGATTGTGGGGGTTGCTCTCTAGGCACAGCCAGCCTTAGTAGGTTCTAAGAGGGGAAGCCCTGCCCCTCCCCATTGCCAGAGTCTTAAGAAGCCCCCTATCCCTGTGCACCCCAACCAGAGACTCTGCTGTTGCCAGAATTCCAGCCAGGCATGGCCCCTGAAGAACACTATCGGCGACTTGTGTCAGCACTGAGCGAGGCAGGCACCTTTGAGGACCCCCAGCGGCACTACCACCTGGGCTTGCCCAGCCACGGTACGTGCCGGATGGACGCCCATTCAGAACATGCTGTTACCTGTGTCCAAACTCTGGCCTGGCTACTGACTGAAGGCAGGTCAGCCAGACTGCCCCTCCTCTCACTCTTGTCTCTCTCCTGGCTGACCACACTCCCGGGTCTCTCTGGGGCTGCCCCTGCCTCACTGAGGATGAGGAACTGAGTTCCAGCCGCTCCCCCCTCCCCCGCTGCCCAGTAGACACAGATCTCTCTGTATGCCTCACCTCTGCTGTCAGTAACCCTGCCTGCAGGGCCAGGTAGGGGACATGGACCCTCTGTTGGGAGCACCCTGACCCTCCCTAGGAAAGCGTCCAGGGTGGGTGAATGAGGTTAGGCAGAGACAGTGGGGATTTGGCTGTGCAGGAGGAGGCTCTCTTCTGCCCCCCACCCCACCCCCCATGGTCTATCCAACTGAGTCCTAATACCCCGCCCCCCAACCCAGATAGGGTAGCCCTGGCTTTTCTGACAGGAGGGGGTTAGTCCGGAAAGGGGGCAGGGTTTCCTCTCTCACACGAGGCACTGTCCCCAGGGCAGCTCAGGCACCAAGAGCCTGAATAATTCACCAAATGTTAATAATTTAAAAATCTTCCTTTTTAATTGCTTTCCCTGCCCTGCCTGGGGCCGCTGCTGGCCGGTGAGGGGGAGGGCTGTGGGCCTCGCGCCCGGGGAGCTGGCTGTCAATCACGGTCCCCGCCGCGGAGCCGCCACCCCCGCTGCGGAGCCGACTGTAAATAACCGCGATCGTGGCGCGGGGGCGGCGGAGGCACCGCTGGGATCGATGCGGGCGGCCGCGCCGGCTCGGCTCTGCAGGCTGGCATCCGGCCTGGGGCAGGACCGGCCTCCGCTTTTCGGGTAATTAATTTATAAAGAGAAGCAGAGGAGCCTGCTAGTGAAGGCTGCGGGTGGGACGCAGAGACAGCCCTGAACAGGCTGGAGATCCGAGTGGGTAACAGTAGTTCAGACGTGTGTTCCATGTGCCCTTGTATATGGTGTACACATGTATGCTTGCAGGTGTCATGTGCTTTCTTATACATGTGTGCCCCAGGGTTGGGGGGAGTCTGTGTGCCTTCATGTATGCTAGTTATGCTGTATGTTCCCTTATGCTCATGCTGTGTGTCCACATGTGATCATGTGTCCCATGTGTGTTCCTGGGTCTTGTCATCAGCCTGACACCTCTGTCCCTGCGAGCTCCGTGTCTGGGGGAAATCTCTGGAACTTTCCTGCCTTTCCACTTAAGACAGACAAGTCTCTTTAGTAGCAACCTGAGCCAGCTCTGGATTGAGGTGCCCAGGCCCAGCCTAGTTCACCTCTGAGATTCTTCTCAAGCAGTCCTATCTCCGCCTGTGCCCTCATCTCAGCGCTCCCCCCACCTCTACCCACTCCTCCGTGTGCATGCATGTGCCCTCACTAACAAATATCCAAACCCCTGTCAGTATCCAGTGTATATACCTTTGCACACCTGGCTCCGCTGCCTAAGGCCCCCTTTCCCTCCCTACAGCGTCACTTTGCTTAGTGACATTCACACAGGCTCTTATGAAGGATCACTGACACCCACCTCTTCTAGCCCTTGTTGCATATAGAAGTGATTTGTCTCCCCTGCCCTACGGCTGGCTACTTATCTTTCTAGCCTAGTGACCAACCCTCCCGGGGTCAGAATCTGGCCCACAGTAGGGTCACAGTGAGGACCCGGCCCATGGTAGGGTCAGTGTGGAAGGCCTGGTGCAGGGTTGATTTTTTGAGGAGCAGCTCTACTGGGCCCTGGGCCCTTAGGTGTCCCTGGGTGAATGTCCTATGTTTACCTGAATGGCGGGAATGAGAGCCCTGAGGAAGTCTAGATTCCTGGTCATTTCTGCCCACCCTCCCAGATCTCCTGAGGGTCCGGCAGGAGGTGGCAGCTGCAGCCGTGCGGAGCCCCAGTGGCCTGGAAGTCCACTTGCCCTCCTCCACTGCAGGTCAGCGTCGGAAGCAAGGCTTGGTCCAGCACCGGGAGAGCATCACCTCAACAATTACCCCATCCTTTCCTGAAAGGTACTGGGGTGGGACTGGACTGTTTTGGTGGGGGGAGGAGCCTCCCCTCCCCACCGGTTTTCTGTGCTTGCATCTGAGGTGTGCCAAAGAGTGTGGGCAGGCCTGTTAGGTCCAAAACCCTCCCATTAATTCTCCACCACCTTTCCCATCTGGTACTCGAGTAACCATTGGCACATGCCCCCAGTCCATCATCAAGACACAGGTGTGGGTACCAAGTGACCCTGGGCTTGGGTTCAAGGCCAGTCATGCCCAAGGCTCCTGATGAGCTGGGATAGACCAGAAACTTTTCTGGGATAGAAGGGGCAGGCATGGAGAGACCATGTCCTGGCAAACTGAGAAATCACTAACTCCAGGTGCCCTAGGACAGTTGAGGACAGAGCTCCCCTACAGGTGAATGAGATGGAGGGTGGTTCCAGATCTGGAGAACCCCAAATCGGTGACTTTGGGGAACAGTAGGGCCCAGATGCAGCAGTTGTGGCGGCACAGGAGAGGCCTCACGGGGTCGGTGGTCGGGAGACCCCAGGAAACACCCTAGGAAGCTGGCGAGGAGGCGGAAGAGCTGCGGTTTCCGACCCTCCTGCCTGGCCACAGAGGTGTGCCAAAGCGCAGGAACCGAGACCCCGCTCTCCCGCAGCAGTCCCCGCGCCCAAGATTCCCTCCCGCCCGGCGGCGCCTCCGCCGCCTCCCGGACTGCGGCTAATTATGCCGTGCCTGGCCAGCGGAGTCCGCAGGGGGCGGGGGGGGGAGGGCGGAGGGGGACAGGGAAGAGAGAAAAGGGAGGAGGAAACGAAGAGAGAGAGGAGGGGCACGAAGGGTGAGGAGGGAGACGGCGGGGGCTCCCCCGGCGCGGTCCGCGCAGTAATTACCGCTGCAGTCGCGCCCGCAGCCCGCCGGGTCAGCGCCTCCGCGCCGCCGCCCGAGATTAATTGGCGCCGCCGGCGGGGGCGGGCGCGACCCTGAGCTGTAACGAGCGGCGCATCGACCGCCCGTTGGGCGGGCAATTAGCGGAGGTGGCTGGAGGGGCGCGGTTCCGGGAATTGGGGGCGCGTAGGGCGGGGGCCCTGGTGCGCACCGCTCATCACTCTGCTGCACACAGGGACCTGTCGCAGCCGCCCCCTCTGCTGTCGCCCCAGAATGCCCCGCACATCGCCCTGGGCCCCCACCTCAGGCCTCCCTTCCTGGGTGTGCCCTCGGCTCTGTGCCAGACCCCAGGTGAGGAACAGGCGGGTTCGCGCGAGACCTTTGTCTTTGGGGGTTATGAGCGTCGGGCGACCTTAGTGTACAAGTGCTCTGAACGGAGGACAGACCAAGGTGGGGTGGATGGCCTTGCTAAATGCCATCGAGTCTGTCCCGACCCATAGCGACCCTGTGTAGCGTTTTCTGAGGAGCGGCTGGTGAGCTTGAACCGACCTTGTGGTTTAAACCGATTTGGCAGTCCACCGCATTAACCTACAGCGCCACACCAGAACTCCGTGGATGGCATAGGTCACCCTGGGGAAAAGGGACATGTCACAGGGACCAGCTTTTGCAGTAGATGCCTAGACCACTGGAAAACCTGTGATTTGTTCCCTTGTCCCAGGTTACGGCTTCCTGCCCCCAGCCCAGGCGGAGATGTTAGCTCGACAGCAGGAATTGCTGCGGAAGCAGAATCTGGCCCGGTAGGTGCAGCTGCCACAGTGTGGGAGGGAGTGACATGGCCATGCCGCTGACCCCCCAGCTCTTCCGGTCCAGGCTGGAGATGTCAGCTGAGCTGCTGAGGCAGAAGGAACTGGAGAGTGTGCATCGCCCGCAGCTGTTGGCGCCCGAGACTGCTCAGCGCCCGCCCGACGGCGCCGAAGAGTTGCAGCGACGCGGGGCCATGCTGCTTCTGAGACACAGCTCGGCGCCACCGCTGCTGGCACTGCCTTCACAGGCGCCCCCTAACCCTCCCCGGGAGCCTACTCGCCGGGCCACCCGAAAAGGGGGGCCAGGCCTAACTCCAGCGCGGCCCAGTGAGTCCAAGGAAGCCGCCGGGGCCAGGCTCTGGGCACAGGACGGCTCTGAGGATGAGCCCAAGGATTCAGATGGAGAGGACACAGAGGCGGTGACTCCGGGGGGCCAGGGCCCCACCCTTGGGCAAGCCTCAGCTGGAGGAGGGGCCAGTGCTGAGGGGAAGGGACTGCTCTCAGGACCCACACTGCCCTTGGGACTCCCCTACACCGTCAGCCCCTATTTCCATACAGGTGGGCCTTACTCCCTCCTTGGGGAGACTAAATCTAGCCTGGCTATCTCCGGATGGATCTCAGGGAGGAGGAGGGGTCCATGGGGAGTGAATTCCTCCCGGTCTTCCATCTAACATCTCTAAGCAATGACGTCATGAGAGAGGTGGGGATTGTGGTGAGAAGTCTGCCCGGAGCCCTGATGACAGCCCTCCCCCTCAGGCACTGCAGGGGGACTCTTCTCAGAGCGGGAGGAGGCCACAGCCCCTGAGGACGTCAGCAAGTGGACCGTGGATGATGTGTGCAGCTTCGTGGGGGGCCTGGCTGGCTGTGGGGAGTATGCCACGGTGAGGGGGCCTAGGTGTAGTTGGGGCCCCCCTGGCAGTGCAGGACCACCCCCAGCAACGCCTCCCCAGTGCTGGCAATTGCCCAACTTTTCTCTGCAAGTTGCACAAACCACTACCCTATTGCTCTTCAGAAACCCTTGGGCCACACCCCCAGGGATTGGCCACAGCCCAATCCGGCTGGAAGGATCTGGGGAAGAGGCTGGCAGGCACTATTCCCAGTACTGGGGCCTGACTACCTCCCCACCACAGGTCTTCAGAGAACAGGGCATCGACGGGGAGACTCTACCCCTGCTGACCGAGGAGCACCTGCTGACCACCATGGGGCTGAAGCTGGGCCCTGCGCTCAAGATCCGGGCCCAGGTGGGCTCTGGGGAAGGGATTACCATAAAGGGAGGGGGATCTTGATAGGTAGGCACTAGGGGTGGGGTAATCCCTGGAGGGAGGGGTAGCTCCCAAGGGTGGATACTGCCCCCCCACCCCTACCCCAGGGTGCCTGCCCACTCAGGCCTGTCTCTGCAGGTGGCCAGGCGCCTGGGCCGAGTGTTCTACATGGCCAGCTTCCCAGTGGCCCTGCCGCTGCAGCAGCCCTTGCAGGCCCCTGAGCGGGAGCTCACAGCTGAAGAGCAATCCCCCTCCCCAGAAACAGCTGCCCCCATCTATAGCCAAGTCTCACCCCAGCAGGAGAATGGGACCACCACTCTGCTTCCTGGGGCCGCAGCCGCTTCCCAGCCCCTGTGCTGAGCGAGGTGCCCAGACCCTGCCCCCACACCCTCACGTGAGAAACTCTGTTGCAACCACCCCCCTGCCCCCAGCTTAATTTTCCTTTTGGATTTGGATGCAAAGAACCAGACATTTTAACAATGAGGAAATATGACTTAGGAAAAGAACAAGTCCCAAAGACTTGGGGGTGCTGCAGAATTGAACAGCCAGCCTGTGCCTCAGTTCCCTGGGGACTGGGTCTGGGGTCCCCACAGACAAACCAAAGACAGGAGGAGACTCAAGAGGTCACCGTGGATCATGTGGGCTCCAGCCAGACCCCACTTCCCCTGGAATGGGTTGGTCCTACTTTGGGGTCTTGCACCGCCTGCCGGGAGGGGGTACCTTCCTCCCGCAGTGGGGGGGGGGGTGGGGAGCGGGGCTACAGTGGGCAGGCTCTGCGGTGTGCGTTTCTGCCCCAAATTTTGGTACATTTGGTTTTTCATGTTGTAAAAATAAAGTCCTGTCCACAGTCTATGGCCTTGCCAACTGCTGGAGGTGGTGGTTTCAGTCCTCCTCCGAGAGCTGCAGGTCTTCAAGCTGGTCCTCGGGCCCCTGGGCCAGCTGCCACAGTTCCTGGGGATCCAGCCCCGCCTCCGTGTCTGCGCCGCCATCTGCTGGGAGTGAGGCCACATAAATCCCGCTCTATCAGGAGGAGCCAGCCCGGAGGTTACTCATCACTAATTAATCATGGCACTAATTAATTTATCGGAGCCGCTGTGCTGGCTGCCAGAGCAGCTGGGCTGGCCTCCTGGGATATGGGTAGTTAAGATCTGCCCACTTGGAGCTGCCCTTGAACAGCCTTTCCCCTGGCCCACTCCAGGTCCCACCAGCCTGGAACACTCACCATCAGAGTCACTGACATCATTTATGCTGCCACTGCTGCTGTCTTGCTCATCCCTCTCCTCCTCTGCCCTCTGCCGAACACTCAGGGATCCAGGTGTCCCTGAAAGGCAAGAGGAAAGGCCAGAGTGCTTGGCTAAGCAGAAACTATGCTGTAGGGAGGACACAACTGCCCTGGGGTCAGAACTCCCACGCTAGGGAAGCCTAGAACAGAGCCCCCAACTTCAAATCAAAGAAAGAGGCCAGTGAGGTGGGGCAAGAGCCAACGGCGACAGCCACTGGGGAGAGGTGTCCAGTCTGTCCATGGCCCACCTGTCCCTACTCCTTAAGGATGCTAGGGGTAGCCGAGAAGCATCCACCCCAATACCTGTCCTTGAGAGGCTAGGAGTGGCATCCTCGTCATCACTGTCTAGGTCAAAGAGGTCCTTGAACTCCTTCCGGTCCTCCTCCTTTCTGCCCCCGGCTCTCTGCCGCTTTATTTCTGGGAAGTTCAAGTCTTCCAGCTGAAGGACCAGCACAGTAGGTGTGAGGAGTGGGTGCAGGGCTGACCCTGACTCCCCTCACTCTCCTATCTGCTGCCCCACAGCAGGATCATCAGAGAAAGAGAGATTCTCAGGAAACACAAGGCAGGGGTCCAGTCTGACCATAACCACTTTCTGCTCCCTCCCTAGACCAGCTTTAGTCCCTCCTTTCCCCTCCCCCAGGCCCTGGTGGAAAACCCAGCAGGCCTGGGTCCCAGTAAGGTACCAATCAGTTCTCCTAGCTGACTGCTCCTCCAGGTGGGTGAGGGGACCCCTGAGCATACTCTCTACTTGACGTACACATGGCACTCAGGTTTCCCTCTCATGAATGTGATACTCTTCAACTCACCAGAGGCCCAGTCACAGCCCCCTTCCCCTCAAACTCCCTCAGCTGTCACACCCAGGACAGGGAGACAGACACAGACATGTCACACGAAGTCATCCCCCCATCCTGACAGGTCTAGTGTCACAAGGCAAAGCCCATCTTGTTGTCCCCCTCTTGAGTGACAAGGCCACTAGGCCTAGAAAGGCAACACCAGCTGGCATAGTCCCTATCCTGTCCAGTTCTACAGGGCCACCCATCTCTTTAGGCCAACAGCTGGTCTCTGCTTCATCACCCACCCACAAGCACCAGGATGGAAGGGGCAGGGGAGCCTGCCTCACCTGGCACTACATAGGGTACCGCAACTGTCCACCCAGGGTGGGGGGAGTTCTTGCCCCACGTCAGCCACCCCCTGCGCACCCGTTCTTTGCCGCTGATCTCCAGCTGTATCTCCCGGTCTCGAAGCTTCCTCCAGTGGCCATAGTACCTGATGAGTGGGGTCCCCTCTGCTCGGGTTTGTTTCTCCCAGGCATCCTGGGGGGTGGAGATGACTCAGTCACACCTGCCCTTGTCAAGCCAATTAGACGTCCCAACCCTTCCTCCTCCCACAACCTGCAGACTGACCACGGCCTGGCGATCAGATACACCAAAGGAGATGGCCTGGCGACGCTGGCGCACATACTCAGAATTCTCCTGCACCTTCTCAAGTAGCTGGCGCACCTGGCGACAATAGTTGGCCACCTTGCACTCCCGCAGGAAGGATTTCAGCTGCAGAGAGAGGGATGTCAGTCTGCCCCCATCTAGGAGGAAGGGGTTTACAGGAAATGGGATTTGGGTCCTATCTTATAGCACATCAGTGTGTGTACTGTAGAACAAGCCTGTGGAGAGGGTCCTTTTCAGAGGCTGAGGGCATGAGGGGTCCACCCTCCATAAATATGTCTCTCACCTGGGTGTTGTTGGGATTGCTCCAGTGAAGTGGCAGGAACTGAGCAGTTGAGAGAACCCCTGGGCCTGCAGGACCCATCGCTGGGTCTTTTACCAAAACCCACTGACCCTGTCTGTTCATTCATGGTCCCTTGGGACCTCAGGTCCAGAAACAGATATCCAACTTCCTGGTGTCATTGGTCGCTGAGGCTACTGGCCACCCACAGTGTGACTGTCAATAGTATGTAACTGTGTGTCAACACATCTGTGTACCACAGTTGTTGTTGTTAAGTGCCGTCGAGTCGGTTCTGACCCATAGCGACCCTGTACAGGGTTTCCGAGGGTGTAAATCTTTACGGGAGTAGAAAGCCTCATCTTTCTCCCACGGAGCGGCTGGTAGTTTCGAACCGCTGACCTTAAGGCTCGCAGCCCGATTCGTAACCACTACGCTACCAGTAAGTGAAAGCAATCACAGAAACCTTGATTAAAAGTACCAAAACGTGAAGCTATTTTCTCGACACATCTTCTATCAGGTTTATAGGCTTTGGAAGACTGTTTCCATCTCTTTAACCCTTCCCCCCAAAATTTGAGCTTTTCATCAAAATGGCAGTTTTGGCATCCTCATGAGACTCAAATCGTGTTCCTTTTAAATGTGGAATACTGAGAGAACAACGAAGTCTGAAGGGACAACATCAGGATTGTTGGGTGGGTGGGGTATGGTTTCCCACCAAAATTCTCCAAGGACTGCGCTTGAAAAAACAGGTGCAAGGTAGTAATGGAAACAAGTCCTTTGCTGATAACTTCCTGGCCTTTTTCTCATCAATGCAGTTTGCCATTTCCTTAAAACTTCTTCCTATAAGTCCCCCATGATCATCATGTATGTGTCTTTTGAGAAAATCTATCAACATTACAACTTTGGAATCCCCCAAAACAGTCACTGTTATAATCTCCTGAGTTGATCCCTCTGCCTCCCTGAATTTAACTCTGACCCAGAAGATCCCGAGAAGCCACAGTTTTGATTGTACTCTGTTCTCTGGGTCCTACTCCTAAATCCAAAGCCTGCCTGTTGACAACTGGCTCAATAAAATCATCTTCCCTAGTTTTGCTGTTGCTTAAAAGTCTGAGGTAAAAAAGTTCAGCTCTTTGAGCTTTGTGTAACACTTCTGATACTCAATGAGGTAAGAGCTTGCTGAGGCCAAGATGTCTGCTTGGAATTGAAAATACTGAGCCCTGATCCCAACTTCAACAGCTATCCCATCATGGAAAGTCTATGGTCTTCTCCCAGCAGTTTCTGGATGTCGGTCATAGTTTCTTCATTCATCGAAGCTGACGGTCTTCCCTCTCTTGTCTTTGAGGGCTTCCTGACTCCAACATTCTTCTGCCATCTAAAAACTATTGTTTTATTTGGGGCAGCATTTTCATATCCTTGTTTCATATCCTGGTTTTAATGATTTGGGAAGATGTCCACTTGACCTTTGTTAAAAATGTGATGTAAGCCCTGACCTCAAAATCCTATTTTTTCATAGCACAAAAACGTATCCTTTTTATGAAGGTACTAACCAGATAAGAGAGACCTGGTGTGGTCTTGTAGGATAAGCACTGGACTGCTAACCACAAGGTCAGCGGTTCAAAGCCACCAGTTGTTCCTTGGAAACCCTACACGGGGTTGCATGGGTTGAAATGACTTGACAGCACTTTACAAGCAGCGTACTACTGGGAGAATGTGTCTACAGTTGTCCACTAATCACAGACATGTTTTGTTTGGAATAAACCCATGCATGTATGAACTGGAACCCTCGTAGCAATACTTTTGGACTTACCCTTATGTAAGCGTGACCCAGTGATTGTAGTGTGCGCATGGACTGTACATGTCCACGTAAGTGTGTGATTGTGTATGTTCATATGTGACTCTATATATACAACTGTGTACTGTGCTGGCTCATGCTCACATATGCACACACATACATACACGTGTCTGGATGGGCCACTGAGTATCATGCGCAGTTCAGGTGTAAGCAGTAGCCCCCCACCTCTCCAGCAATGGCCTGTGATTCTTGGAGCTAATTCTGTAGCTCCCCAGGGCCCGATAGAAATTGGGTGTGGGTTTCCATGAGATGGAAACCATTTAGGCTAGGTAAAGGAATCCACATGGGGAGGGGCTCCAGAGAGGAGGGAGAATCTCCGCCCTGACCCTGTAGCACTAGGAAAATGAGACTGACCCCAACATCTGGAGCACAGGTAATAGCCCACCTTCACTCCACCCCCAGAGCTACGGCAGGGGTGCACTGGGGAATGGCCTGCTCTCCAGAGAGCCCTCATGGCCAATTTAGCCCCTGCAGAGTCTCCCTAGAACTATAGGAACAAGTGTTCTGTGGAGGGTGCCCCCACACACACATCGGGAACCCAGCCTGCCGCTTGGTTGAGCTGGTTGAGTTGGGGGGTGAGGGTCGAGCACAGACCTGTAGGACAGTGGGCAGTACCAGCTCCGGGAAGGCAATGCTGTGGGCCTGGCCCTGCAGATACTCCAGGGTGTGGTCACATAGCTGCTCCAGCAGGCCGTCCTGGGAACACATCAGAGAGGGCAGGCAATGGGCGTCAGGGCAGGTAGAGGAGGCACATCAGAACAGTGGGCCATCAAGACAGGAGTCAGGGTGTAAGGGGCACATCAGGATCGGGGTGGGTCTGAGGTAAGCAGTGCAGGAGGTGGGCAGGAGGATGACAGAGTAAGTCGGGGTGGGGTAGGCAGGACACAAGCACCCCAGAGGCCACCCCTGCAGCCTCACCGGGTATGCCTTCTCCTGTAGGTTCACGTTGGATAGCTTCAGGATCACAGCAAAGTTGATGGGCTTAGAACTCATGCGTCCCGGCTTCTTATTGAAGTTGACCTGCTGGAAAACCTGCCAGACGAGCAGCTTCAGGGCCCTGCCGTCTGCTGCTTGGAGCTCATTACCCCGGGACAGAACCCGAATGGTACCACTACTGTCTTCTCAGAGTGTCCGCCATGGCTGCTTGAGCCCCACACTTCCCAGAGTCTGGCCTCTCATCCAGAGTGGTGCCCAGGCTCTTTGACAACAAGCAGGATGAGCCCAGGGGTACATGTACAGTCCACAGAACCAGAACTTTCCCGCAGCATAGCTGGGACACAGGTAGCTGGGCCTGGGCTCTGAACCTGGGTACTCCCCTAAATCCAACGGCCCACAACCGGGAGACCCTGTGTATGGTGGGCGAAGACCCCTCACAGCTAAGGATTTATGCTGGCTACGCTCCTGTATTCAAAGAACAAGCCGTATGTCTCCCTGTGCACTACACCGTGCCTAGGCAAGGATGACCCTTTCTCTAGCTGACCTGAGGGCTGGGGTCTATAATTGCCTGCCAGTGAGAGAGGGAAAAGCAGGAGACTTTCTTCTGGAGGGGAGCCTGTGTTGGGAGTGTTGCATCAAGCTCTGGCAGGGGGCTGCCCACCCCTCCCCATCAGCGCTGCCTGGAAGCGAGAGACCAGAGAAAGAAGAAAGAGGAAGGAACGGAGGGAGAGCACCAGGGCTCAGGGAGACAGTGGGCAGAAAAGCACAAACAGAAAGTGATGCCCAGAACACAGGCACAAAGACCAATCCAGGGTGGGGGCCACGGTAGAGGCGCTGAGCCAAGAGCTACAGACTGGGCACTCAAGAGTTTCCGAGGTGACCACCAGGAGAATGTCGTTTCTAAAGGCTGTTAACAGCACCAAGCCGCAGCAGCCCTCTGGAGGGGAGCAGTGAGGCACAATCTGAGTTTCCTCTGCCTCCTTCCCCTGCCCCTTGTGGGGCAGCACACCACAGCCATGGTCCTACCTCCTGGTGGGCATGCAGTGACCACTGAGGCCTCTCCCAGAGAGGGATAAGAGATTCCTGGAAATGGGCTAGCCAGGCCTCACTTTGGGGAGACTCAGCTTCGAATTTCAGCTTCTCATGTCCACCATACACACACAACACACAGGCAGACATATAGCTCATACATATACACATGCCCACAAGTACATGCACCAGACACAGGAAGAGATCCACACGGGCAAAACCAGCACCCAGGCAGGCTTGGGCATCTGAGTCCTGTGACTCTATCCAAGCTCAAACCACAGCTAACTCTGCCCTCAGGCTAACACAACGCTGTCGGTACTGGCTGGTCGTAACCTTTGAGCAGCACTAGGGGGGCTGTTCACAGTCCCACAGAATCCACAAAGCAGGACAGGTGAGGACACTGGGGTGCAGGGAGGCTTGAGCTGGGGCCCAGAGCTGTGACGATGGATGTCGCAGACAGAAGGGGTACACCCCCACCTCCGCACACACACACTCACCTCAAGGAGGAAGGGGAGCACGGGGATGAAGGTGCCCGTGCTTTCTGAGAGCAGCGTCAGTGCACGTACACAGTGCAGGCGCAACGGGTAGAAGCGGGCGGTGGGGACCAGCCTGGGAGGGGGGTGAGAAGGGGTGAGAGGCCCCCAGGCTTGTGAGGCAGGTCTACTTGGCTTCTGCCACCAAGCTCCCCCCCCCCCACTACACCAAACCTACATGGGGATCCTTCCCCTCCAATGATGCTGTTGGCCCCCTCAATCCCTGGGGGCCCCCACCCAACTTCTACCTCAATTCCACTTTCATGAGGAACTCTTTCAAGTCTCCCCCTTCCCTGCCTCAGCCATCAGAGCTTTTCTAGGTTCACCTCCCAGACCCATCCACCTCAAGGTGTCTCTCTTTAGGGAACACGGGTGCCCCCTCCTGGCCAAGAGGTGCACAGAACAAGCGGCTACACAAGCTCTGGCTATAGGTTCATCCCATCCTGCGAGGATCAAAATCAAGGCTTGCCAGGAACATTTATGTCCAACCGTGGCACATGACCCCAGAGTGCTCACAAGTCCCCAGGATGCCTACGTGCTTCCTGTTGGGCTGGGGCCAACAGGAGTAGCTGGCACACAACGGATGACAAGTCCAGCTACCCACAAGGACATTAGGAGTGTCCAGGAGACCAAAGACTGCCCCCAGTGCTCCCCAGGGACTACTAAAACATATACCCCAAACATCAGTGGAGAACTTACCCTTCCTGGTCTTCCAGACATCCGTGTAATGCTGAATACCCAGGAAACCCCTCAGCACCCCAACCCTTGACCTCCAGGATGCCTGGTATAACTCTTAACTCCCCACCTTCAGCATGCCAGTAGGACCCCAGCCCCGGTCCAGACTCACTTGATGCAGCCAATGATGACCTGCACGAGGGGGTATATCAGGGGCTCCAGGGCCCCACTGGGGCAGAGGGTGCCCAGCACACGGCACCACAGGTGGAGGCAGTGTACAAACTGCCAGTTGTACACAGACTGGTACGTCTCCTGGTCACAGGGAGGACAAATCACTAGTAGAGTCCAAGTGGGATGAGGGGCCCTCTTCTCCAGCACAGAGTCCCACTGCACGCCCCCCATCCAGGGCTATGCCCCTAGTATGCCTGAGGCCTGCCACTCAGCCCATACCTTCTTCCGCATGGCCATGGCATTGCGCAAGTGGACGGCAAGTTGGCGGATGTAGAGAAAGGCATGCTGGTAGGTAGCAGCGGTGTCCAAGGCTAGCACCTCTGTCAGGGTGCGCTGCATGAAGGTGATGGGGGGCAGGGCACTGGGGGACGTGAACTTGCAGTTCTTCACATATGTGATGTACATTTGCTGCAGGAGAACTCAGTCAAGGTTGGTCTTGTGCTCCTGCGGCCCTGTGGAGTCTCCAGCCCCCCAGGTATCCCCACACCAGAAGGTCATGGTATAGGGCGCTGCAGCCAGATGAAGGTACCACCCACACAGGAGGCTTGCCACCCTCAGCGGAGAGCCCTCCCAGGCCAGTCACGTAGCACTCACTACCTTGAGTACAGGGCCCAGAAAGGTATCCTTCTTGTGTCGGCAGACTCTGACAAGAACCAGGAAGGCCAGCACACGCAGGGTCTCCTCACCAGTGCCCCACAGGACCACCATCCTCTGCGGAGGGCAGGTGTCATCACCCACCTAGATTCTCCACCTGGCAGCTCCTCTCCTCCCTCCTTGGGTAGCAGACTCCCAACCCCCACCTGAGGCCAGTGGTCTCTTGTCACTCCTGGGGACAGCACTTTCCAAAGCACCCCAGGAGGCAACCATGAGCAGTGTCAGAACCAGTCAGAGGGAAACAGATACTCAAGACAGAGTTCACGCCCCCGCCAGCAAGGGCAGCGCATATGTGTGCTGTGAACCCTGTCAGCTCACAACCTTGCAACACAATAAGCAAGCCTCGAGTGGTTCTGTCAGTGTTGGAAAGTGCCACGCAAGTGAGCTGTGTGTATGTGTGTGTGGTGAGGGCAGGATGTCCTGACTGCCGCCAGGAGAGGCTGAGATGGGGCGAGCAGGGAGTGTGCAGGGGTATGTCTGGGTTACAAAGGCCAGCCCACCTTGAGCAGAACGCGGCACTGCTGTGGGAAGGTCAGGAAGTATGGCACTGCGCTGCTGATGTGCTGAAGCACAGCCGCCGCCACTGTCGCCTCCGTCAGGCAGCTGGCCAGCTGGGGAGCAGCAGGGGACAGTGAGGCCCAAACCCAATCTCAGGTCTGGGTTCCCCCCAGCCTCAACAAGTCAGCACCTGTGTGACGGAGTTCAGGTAGGTCTTGATGTCCAGACGGAGCTTCCCCCACAATGGGCTGCTGGATGGTGGTGCCCCCCTGCGGAGACATCCCCCCCCCCCGCCCCGTTCTGTGACCTCTTGCATCGATACCCTCCTGTGCCAGCGTCCCCCTACTCCCAGAGGGGACAGGCCAGCAGCAGTGTGAGGGCTGGGGCCAGGTGAATGAATGGGACTCAGTCATCAGAGAGGAGGAAGCTAAGTCCAGGCTGGGAAAATAGTGGCGCAAAACTCAAAAGTTGAAACACACCCCAGGCCCCCAAGGAATCCCAGGTAGAGAACCCTTCTCAAAAAGGGAAAGAGGGTACCACCTACCACAGCCCAGCCTCTCCCAGAGTCTGCATGCCATGTCCAGAGGGCCACCAACCCCCTCACCTGGTGGCGTCCTTTGGGGCCTTGCTAAAGAGCAGCTTCTGGAGACAGCTGAGGAGGTCTCTGATGCAGAAGGTGACCACAGCGTTGAATACTGCCAGAGAGGGAGAAGCGTGTGGAGAAGTGGACGATGAGACACAAATGCCCCTGGGGTCTGCTCTTGAGACAAAGGACACACAGGGGAGAACCTGCGTCCAGGGACCCTTGCCCAGCTCACCTGCGCTGTCTGTAACCTGGAATCTGCAGTCCTCGGCACCTTCCTGGTCTCCTTGAGTGGTGGCCACAGCTGCTCGGAACGCCTGCACAACCTCATGGAACAGCTTTGGTGTGAGGTGCTGTTGGAGAGGCAAGGGGACCCAGGGAAGCTGACAGAGCTCATGGAACTACCTGAGAAAGGCACCTTGGCTCAGTCACATTAATAGACGTAGGGGTAGAGGTGGGGGCCAGGGTGGCTGAGCCAGAGACCAGAACCTTCCGAGAGGGCAGGACATGAGAGGTTGGCTCTTAGAGCATAGCCGGCTCCCAGGTGGTATGGGATACTCTCTTTCCCATCATCTTTCTCACAGAGATCATGGTGGACCCCTCAGAATAAGGACCCTTATTCCCTAGACTAACAAAGCAGAGAAACCCAGACCCAGCCTCAGTAAACTGTAGGCAGCAAGAACCCGAGAGGAGACGGAGAAGACAGCTCTGTAAAGGAAGGGGCAGGCCTGGGGCCAGTCTGGTACATCAGGGAAGGATCCTCTCAAGGGGGCCCCTGTGAAGCCCCAAAAAACTATATGAGGGGAATCAAGTGTCCACACCCCACCCCTTACCTTCGCTGACTGCTTCCAGTATTCAACCATGGCGAGGGTCACAGGGATTGAATCCCTCTTCTTCCCCTGCAGTCCCTTAGGGACTTTGTCCCCAGCCTCCGCTCCATCCTCCTCCTCCTCCTCCTCCTCGCTTGCTTCCTTTGCAGGCACAGAAGGCCAAGGTGGGATGTATCTTATTGGTCACAGGTGACTCCCTTCCCTCAGTTCTACCCAGTCCCCTCACCTCCAGCATGCTGGGCAAGGAGTGAAACTGCTCCTCTTCATCCTCAGAACTGTCTGACTCGCTGAAGTTCAGCAGACTCTGGTCGTTCTCCTGCAGGAATTTGTAGAACTCCGGGTCCTTGTCCTTTAGCCGAGAGAGCTGGTCCTTATGCTCAGCAGCATGGCCTTTCCGCCTACTGAGAAGGCAAAGGGTTAGCAAACCCAGTGGGTCATCAGAGTCAGCTAGGGGGATTCCTATCCCCACCAAACTGCCTGCTTGCGACCGTCTGGGAAACTACAGGAGTAAGTCTGCTTGTTCTGACATAGTATGGAGCCAACAATCTAGGGTGCACAATTCCCCAATTCCAGACTATATACCTGACGGTCTCTTGACACCTTTTCACATGTCCTCTGACACTACATTCAACCCACACACTCGCATCCTGAACTCCAAATTCAAATCTCACTGCCACAGAGTGGATTTTGACTGACAGCAACCTGATAGAACAGAGCAGAACTGCTCTACAGAATTTCTAGGCCTGCAAATCGTTCTCCAGCAGAACAGCTGGTCAGTTTCCAAGGCCAAACTTATGGTTAGCAGTCAGATGCTTAACCCACTGCACTACCAGGGCTCCTGTCCTGAACTCCCCATCTCACTAAACTCATTCTATGTACACTCTGTTCCCCCTAAGCTGTTAACTCCATCCTTCCAGGCACTTGAATGAAAAAGCCTGAGTTGTCCTTAAACTTCTCTCTCACACGTCTCTCCCATCACTGAAGATTCAAACCACCAACATTCTCAGCTACTATAGCAGCCTCCCTGGACGCCTAGTGTGGCACTGTAGGCTCAGCACATTGTGGGCTGTGAAATACAAGGTTGGCAGTTCAAACCCACCAGCTGCTTCTCGGAAACTCTATATGGGGTCTCTGTAAGTCAGAGATGACTTGACAGTACTTAACAATAACACCACAGTGGCCTTCCAGCAAGTTCCCAGCTTTCATTCCAGAATAGCACCCAAAGGACCCTTTATGTCATATGATGTTACTGCTCTGTTCAAAAACCTCCAACTATCTTCCCACTTTACCAAGACGGCTGATAACCTACAGCCTTAAGACCTGGTCCCTCTACATCTCTGCGGGTTCATCTCCAATGCTCTCTTGCTCAGCCCCTCCACAACACTCAGCTCTCACTGTTCTCAAGCACATCAAACATGCTCCAACTTCACAATCCTTGCATTTCTCTGTCCCTTCTGCCTATGTAGCTTACAGTCTGAGCTTGAACTCCAATGTTACCTCCACAACCTGCCTCCTCCATGTAACAATGCAACGCCATCCTTCTTCCGAACTGTCTCTTATCCCTCTAGCCCTTTCTGTTCATTTCTTCCACTCCAAAGCACTTCCCTCTCCCAGTACACTTCGAATTGATCCCTAGCCTAAAACTAGACAACATTCTCTAAACCAGATACTTCACATAGTCCAGTAATGCAAGACGACCATTTAGATAGAAATCTGACACAAAACAAGGGCTCATCGTATACCAAGTAAGAAATTGAAAAAGTTGAAAGAAACTGGGGTAGAGTTGAGAGGCCTCTAGGCCTTACCCCCAAGGTCCCAGGGAAGGCCAGCATCCTCGAACCGAGGCGGGTATAAGCGAAAGGGTTCCGCCTACGTACGTTCCGTGGGAGAATGCGCCGCCCCGCTCACCTGGCCGGGGGGCTTCCGCCTGGTCTTTGCGAGCTCCGGGCAAGTCCTTGTGCCTTTCGCACTTCCGCTCCCGGGGCGCCTTCGGGATCGGATTCGGATTCCGAGTCAAAGCCAGAAGCCAGGAACTCATCCACCGTCAGCTCCGCCAAGCGCCTGTGGGTCACAATGTCGCAATCACGGCAGCACGCCATCCCGGCTTGCTTCACCCCGCCATCCCAGGAGCACGAAAAGGGATGCGGAAAGTTCATTTGAATGCCCGTAGCCGCCGGACGCCCAAGAGGTCCTAGAACCCTCAAACTCACCTTTTCCGACTCCGCGCCGTCTCCATGCCAGCCAGCCTGCTTGCAGCGTGCGCTCTACTTCCGGGTCCAAAATGCAAAGCGTTGCCGCACTTCCTCCGGCACTTCGCCTCGCCCCGCCCCGCCCCGCCCCGCCCCGCGATTGACTCTGAGGTTATAGGACCTTGGAGCCAGCGGACTCCAGGCTGGAGGGTGTCTACGTTTCCACCTTCAGCTGGCAGCGAGGTGCCATGCATGCGATTCAGTCACAGCATCCGCACACATCCGCTGAGTGCGGGATGAGTCCTGAAATACTTCTCACAACTCTGCGGGCCCGGTTAGCGTCCTCTGTGAGGAATGGAATCAGGACGCCTGCCCATCGCTGTCCGCCGCCTGTTAGCCCAGATCCGGCCTCCCCCTCAAGCCGTCTGATCCCCACCAAGACTCTGGAAGCACGTGTGTCACCTGGTGCAGGAAAAGTGTAACAAAGAGAATAATATACATAGAGCTCTCACAAATTAATAATAAAAAGCCACCGACCCAGTAGGAATGACAGACAGCAGCGATGTAAACAGACAGACCTCCCTCAAAATGTTGCCTTGAAGCCAGGCCGTGCCTGTGAGAAAGGCCAGTAGCAGCGACTCAGGAGGGGGCTGTGTGGTGCAGCAAGGAGGGGTCATCAGCCCTCAACCCCGAGAGCCCCCTCTAGACAGGTCAGAGAGGGGTAGATCTTTTCCCCTCGTGTTTGTCTGCTCCAACAGCAGGTGCAAAGTCCCAGAGGCCGGAAGTGGTCTTGGAAAGGGAAGGTGGGACGAGGGTGGCCTAAATGTACCACGTCACAGAACCCGATAGCCCACAGAACCCACTAGCCCACACCAGGGAGCTAGCGTTCAATGGGAGAGAAGCTCAGTACTTTTTGTTGTTAAGTGATGTCCAGTGGATCCGGACTCATAGTTTGGAAAGTCAAGGGCTAGGGATTGGGAGGAGGTGTGGCGCTGTGGGAGAACGCACTGGACCGCAAAGTTGGTTTGAACTGCGAAGTAGACTGTTCAAATTTATCTGCCACTCCTTGGAAACCCTATACAGGGTTGCAAGGAGTCTGAGTCGACTCGATGGCACTTAACAACAACAATAACAACAGGGGTTGGGAGGAGTCCTGTTGTGGCGCTGTAGGATAAGCAATGAACAGCGAGTCGGTTTGAACCGCTATATCGGTGGTTCAAACTCACCAGCCGCTCCTTGGAAACCCTATACAGGGTCGCTAGGAGTTGGAATCCACTCAAAGGCACTTAACAACAACAAAGGGGTTGGGAACCGGCTGGGAGCTGGCATAGGTCTTGCCCAGAGTTTCCTGTGGAGGAGTTCCTAGCCGGTTCAGGTCCTGTCCCGAACCTACTGTAAGAAGCGATAACGGGCGTAACACGGGCGTGTTTTCCCCAAGGAAGGGGAGGGAGGGTGACTTCAAGAGATGGAGATGGCGGGCGGGGACGATGGTCTAAGGAGCTGGAGGCGAGCGGTGCCGCCGAGGCCGCCTAGAGGAGGAAGACAGTAGGCGGAGCCCCTGCGCGGTGACGAATGGAGGATCCGAAACTGCTGCAGAGGCGGGGCGGGCGGCGCCGAGAAACAGCAGGTTGCGGGCTAGTAGCTGGAGCGAACTCCGAGCCGGCTGCCTCCGCCAAGCAGTCCTCCAGCATCCGTGAGTCCTTCAGTCTGTCTGTAGGTCCGGAGACCGAGCCCATGCAGCCGCGCAACGAGCGCCCGGCCGGCAGGACGCAGAGCCCGGAGCACGGCAGCCCGGGGCCCGGGCCCGAGGCGCCGCCACCGCAGCCGCCACCGCAGCCGCCGGCGTGAGTGGGCCCGGGAGGTCGTGAAAGGGACGTGATGGCCCAGGGGTCACTGAGGTGGCTAGAGGAGGTCTCGAGTGCGGGTCGGGAGGAGAGACCTGGAGGGAAGGAGAGAAGGGCAGGGGACGAGGCGCTGATCCTACTCTGGAGACCCAGTACCCGCATACCCCGTTCCATGGAGGGTCTGCCTGCATCGCTCACTGCCCTCAAGATGCCACCGGGTCCTCATCTCTGGGGTCAGCTCCCCTGTACCTCTGCCCTTCCATTCATTTTCGGACCATGTGGGTGCGGGCAGTCATCCAGCCCCCGGTGTTGCAGTCTGCAGAGGCCTGTTTCATTCCCCACTGCCCTTGAACCTTGGGTGGTGCATAGACTCAGACAATCCTTATGCAGAATAAGGGTGCAGTGTGCTTGGAAGAGCTTGGGTTCAGAGCACGGCTCATTGCGTACTGACCACCTTTACCCTTCATGCATGTCCTGTTCCCCTGGCATTGCTGAGGATGACAGACTCCTTTCCAGAGGAGCCAGCTGGCTGGTGGGGACAGAAAGGGTGGCTGACAATCAATGGACAAAGGACTCAGAGGACTGAGGGAGCTTGGTTCTTACGGGGCCTGGGCACAGGGGCCTTGGTGCCCAAGAGAAGCGTGGGCATAGGGGACTTGGCAGCATAGCAGCCAGGGCACCAGGTCCATGAGGGACTTTGGTCCATCTGTGTACTCTAAGAGATATAAGGCAAGGCTCCAGGGGGGCTTCTGGACATAAGAGGCAGCACAGGGCAAGTGGGTGCCAGGTCTGGCACAGGGCTGGGAGGTGGTGGGAGCTGGGAGAGGGGACAAAGTGGGTGGCTTGGACCCCTGACCAGCCATCCCCCACAGCCCTGAGGCCGAGCGAGCGCGACCCCGGCAGCCCTGGCCTACAGTACCAATGGAGGGAGCCATGCAACTGCTGAGTCGTGAGGGCCACAGCGTGGCCCACAACTCCAAACGGCACTACCACGACGCATTTGTAGCCATGAGCCGCATGAGGCAGCGAGGCCTCCTCTGTGATATCGTCTTGCACGTGGCCACCAAGGAGATCCGAGCACACAAAGTTGTGTTGGCTTCCTGCAGCCCCTACTTCCATGCCATGTTCACAAGTAAGTGCACAGCCCTCAGCTTGGGGCTGGGGGCTAATCGGCGCAGGTTTTCCGGACGAGGACCAGCCTGTTCTGCTGTCCCCAGATGAGATGAGTGAGAGCCGCCAGACACATGTGACACTGCATGACATCGACCCTCAGGCGTTGGACCAGCTGGTTCAGTTTGCATACACGGCTGAGATTGTAGTGGGCGAGGGCAATGTGCAGGTGAGACCACAGACCCTTAGTGTCTTGTGACACTCTGTCCAGGGCTCCATTCCCCCTTTGTGCTTCCTGCAACCCCTGTGTCTTTTTTCCACGTTCCCCTTGGCTCCCATCATCCTTGTCCCATGGCCCTACACCCCCCTCCTTCCTGTCCCTGTGCTTGCAGACTCTGCTCCCGGCTGCCAGCCTCCTGCAGCTGAATGGTGTCCGAGATGCCTGCTGCAAGTTCCTGCTGAGTCAGCTTGACCCGTCCAATTGCCTGGGCATCCGGGGCTTCGCTGACACACACTCTTGCAGTGACCTGCTCAAGGCAGCCCACAGGTACGTGCTGCAGCACTTCGTGGACGTGGCCAAGACTGAGGAGTTCATGCTGCTGCCGCTGAAGCAGGTAACACCACCAGCCTCAGACCCTGCCCTGGGCCCCAGTCCTCACCTTTGACACCCAATCCATCCCACCTACCCTCCTTCTGCCTACAGCCCTGGGCCCTAGACCCCAGGAACTGGATCTAAGGTTCTGGACTCTGCTTGGCCCCTCCCCAGGAACACTGGGCCCCTGGCCGGGCAGATGCTTCCCCTCAGGCAGTCTCAGGCTCCCTGGCCCCTTCCCCCAACCTGGCCTAGCCTAAGGCCCCATCCCCAGGTGCTGGAGTTGGTCTCCAGTGACAACCTGAATGTGCCCTCTGAAGAGGATGTCTACCGTGCTGTCCTGAGCTGGGTCAAGCATGACGTGGATGCACGGAGGCAGCATGTCCCTAGGGTAAGGCTGGCCCTGGGTGTCCACTGGCCAGAAGGGAACACAGGTGGCTGAGGGGATCCATGATCAGGGTCCTGGGGCCAGACTGAAGAGGCGTATGAGAGCTCTCAGGAGAAGTCCAGCAAGGGGGCGTGTGTCCCCAGGGCCTGCCTGACCTAGCACCTCCTAACCTCAGCTGATGAAGTGCGTGCGGCTACCCCTGTTGAGCCGAGACTTTCTGCTGGGTCACGTGGATGCCGAGGGCCTGGTGCGCCACCACCCTGACTGCAAAGACCTGCTCATCGAGGCCCTCAAGTTCCACCTGCTGCCTGAGCAGAGGGGTGTCCTGGGCACCAGTAGAACACGGCCACGGCGCTGTGAGGGTGCTGGCCCAGTGCTCTTTGCTGTGGGTACGCCCATGCCTACCACGTCCCTACTGCATCCTCACCATCTCTCCACACCTGCAGCAGCTCCTCTTGTGACCATCATGTCCCCACCTACCCCTGTCATCTCCCCATACACATCCACAGTATGACCCCCCCCATGTGTCTATCTCACCTCCACCCTTCATTTGTCACATCCCTGCCCACATCCACCATGTCCCCACCACATCTCCATGTGTGGCTCTTCTTCTGTGACCACCACATCCCCTGTGTCTGTTTGCCACATTCCTGCCACATCTCCACTACCTTTCTCTTCTGTCTGTCACCATCTTGTGCAGCCTCGCTACACCCTTATACTCTTGTGATCCCCTCTGCCCCGCCGTGCCCACTATATCACTGCCACACACACACACACCCCTCCCCCCCAGCCATATCCATGCAGCCACAACCTACCTGCCTCCAGCATGGTCCGTTCCGTTTCCACACCCTTCCATCCCTGTCTGTACCCTGTCCCCAGTTTAGCTCCACCATGTTTCTGTACCCCCTGTCCCCATACCTGCCACACCCCTGCACCTGCCACAAACACATCAGATCCCTACCACATGCCCAGCTGCACCTGCCCCCATCTCAACCTGGAGCCCCCCCAGGACCTGGTGCTGCATGACCCACCCCACCAGATCCCTGGGCACACCTTCTGCTCTCAGGTGGTGGGAGCTTGTTTGCCATCCATGGAGACTGCGAGGCCTACGACACACGCACTGACCGCTGGCACGTGGTGGCTTCCATGTCCACGCGCCGGGCCCGAGTGGGCGTGGCAGCCATCAGCAACCGACTGTATGCTGTGGGCGGGTAAGCACAGGGCAGTCATGGGTCGGGCTCCTCATGCACCCTCTGGCTCAGCTCTGACTCCAACGGGGCCCTCCCCAGCTACGACGGAACCTCGGACCTGGCCACTGTGGAATCATATGACCCTGTCACCAACATGTGGCAGCCTGAGGTGTCCATGGGCACGAGGCGCAGCTGCTTGGGTGTGGCCCCTCTGCATGGGCTGCTCTACGCGACTGGTGGCTATGATGGGGCCTCCTGCCTCAACAGGTGCGCGGGCCAGACCAGGACTGCCCAGGACCACAGGGTCATGGCCAGCCAGGAACTAAGAGGTCTCTAGCCCCTTACTGTCCTTCCAGCCCAGACAGGCCCTCCCCTGTCTGATCAATGGGTAGTCCAAGTCAGTGGGGTTCTGGGGTCAGGGCTTCACTGGGATTCTGTCCATGGGGCCCTGAAGACTCTTCTGGACCTGGACAGCTTCCCTACCCACTTTTGGGGTCAGCAAAGTTCTTCATCTGCAGTGCCGAGCGCTATGACCCACTGACAGGAGCGTGGACATCCATCGCTGCCATGAGCACCCGGAGGCGCTATGTACGCGTAGCCACACTTGGTGGGTGACTCACTGCTGGCATGCGACCCACCCCTGCCTGCCCCCTTTCCCCTGGGGGGCCCCAGCACACAGTGGGCACTCAGGGGCACCTCCACTCGCAGATGGGAGCCTGTACGCCGTGGGCGGCTACGACAGCTCTTCACATCTGGCCACCGTGGAGAAATACGAGCCCCAGGTGGGTGGTGTGCCCAACCACAAACCACCGCCACCTTCCAACCACTGTCACTTCTTCCCCAACCACTGTCCCTTCCCAATGGCCAGTCTCTAACTGCTATTCCACGGACTACAGTTCCTCTGACCACTGCCCCACAACTGTTTTAACTGCCGTACTCCTGGACTACCATCCCTGATTGCTGCCCCAAACACCGAGCCCACCATTGCTGCCCCTACTCTGGAGCTCTGCAGGGCCCTCAGCTCAGCGCCCTGCTGTCTGCAGGTGAATGCGTGGACACCCGTGGCCTCCATGCTGAGCCGGCGCAGCTCAGCGGGCGTGGCAGTGCTAGAGGGCGCCCTCTATGTGGCTGGGGGCAATGACGGCACGAGCTGTCTCAACTCTGTGGAGAGGTTCAGCCCCAAGGCCAGCTCCTGGGAGAGCGTGGCACCCATGAACATTCGAAGGTCTGCAGGCACAGGCTCATTCATGTCCGGTGGGGAGGGGTGGGCAGTATCCTGGGGGTACCCATGGGGGCTGTTCCAGGGAGGAAAAGTCCTGGAGTGATGTCCATGGGGGTCCCCAAAAGAGAGGTATCCATGCGGGAGAGGGGGTTGTCTCACCCCGTGCAGCAGGTCTGTCCTCCCAGAGATAGAGGCCCCTATGGATCTGCTTCTGGACTGGTACCCACTCCCCCTCCTGTGGCCCCTCAGGAGCACACATGACCTAGTGGCCATGGATGGATGGCTGTATGCTGTGGGGGGCAATGATGGCAGCTCCAGCCTCAACTCCATCGAGAAGTACAACCCCCGGACCAACAAGTGGGTGGCCGCGTCCTGCATGTTCACGCGGCGCAGCAGTGTTGGTGTGGCCGTGTTGGAGCTGTTGAACTTCCCCCCACCCTCCTCACCCACGCTGTCTGTGTCTTCCACCAGCCTCTGACCCGCAGCGCCTTGCACTGGCGCCCAGATGCCTTAAGCCCCCGGGCGGCCCCAGCTCCTCCCTCCCTCATCCCCACAAGTTGGGGCAGGGTCCCCGGCCATTCCACCAGGGACGCTGGGCACCTCCATCCACGTATGTGTGTTGGTATGTCTGTGTGCGTCCCTGTTAATTTATTTACTCATTTACTTGTCCACTTATTTATTGCCCAGCGAGCACCACCCCAGCTGCCAGTTTGTTTACTCTCAAAATGTTTGGGACCCCATATATTTGGGACCAAACTACCCTCCTGGGGGTCCTTCTGTCCACTCCTGGCCTTGGGAGTAGCAGTAATCGGGGAGGAGACCCTCACTGCCCCCAGAGTCTCAGACCTGGAGGCACCAACTGAGAATCTGGGGCGGGGCATCCAGCATGTCAGTGCCAAACAAGCTGGGCCTTGAGACCCGGCTCTCCTCAGCAGGTGTAGACCCCCACCTCCCCACCGAGCGCCTCCTCCTCATGTCCACATCTGTCTCCTGGGCCCAAGCTAAGTGGGGCCACGTGCACACCTTTGCAATCAGTGTGCACAGACCCAATGTAGCAATACTCACTGACTTGGATAATAAACATGTCTCAGACTCTTTGGGCTGCAGCTAACCTCTGTCCCTGGGTGGCTGGACAGCTGGAGGACCTGCATGCTGTCCTGTCCCTCTGGTTAGGTCTATGGGAAGGGATCTTTGGGAGGTCCACTGAGGGTGTCCATGGAGGAAGCATCTGAAGTTAGGGCAGCCAACACCTTACCCTAGTGTCCCTAGTACATAGCGGAAGTTTCTGGGGAGGCCCCGCAGAGGAGACCAGGAACTCTGGCAGCAGCAAAGATGTCAGCAGCAACATTGGAAGCACATTGCCTTTTGGTCCTGGAGCATGGGGAACAGTCTTCCAGGATTCTGCATTAGCCAACCTGGAAGTCTCTGGCAGAGGGTGGGGAACTGGGGGTGGGGGTCGGGTAGAAGTGACAGAGAAGAGTCCCAGCTTCCCATGGGGCTTACTTCTGCTCCTGCAGCTGAGGGTGCGCAAGCTCCCAGACAGTCACCAGTGACTCAGAGACTGGGGATTTAGGTGGAAACAGGATGTGTGCTCAGCAGGGGGCTGGGAGAGGACCCGGTCCACCAGGGTCCACTGAGATCACCCGAGGTCACTGGGACCTTTGGGATCACCAGGTTCTCACAGGGCTATTGGACTTATCTGGGGGGGTCACAGCATTTACACAGGGGGGGTCACAGGGTTCACCCTGAGTGCCACAGGGTTCATAGGGCTCACCTGGGTCCAGCAGGTCTCTGGGGGGGGTCATTGTTGTTGTTAAGTGCCTTTGAGTTGATTCTGACCCATAGTGACCCTGTATAGGGTTTCCAAGGAGCAGCTGGTGAGCTTGAACCACCAACCTTGCAGTTCAAACAACTTTGCAGACTGACGCTTGAGCCCACAGTGCCACACCAGGACCCTGCTGGGGGGTCATTAGTGATCACGAAACTCAATGGGGTCACTGGACTCTCCAGGGGCCAATGGGGGTCACTGAGCTCTCACAGCATTCCCTGGTGCCCCCACTTTGAGCGCAGGCCATTGTGGCCACTTCGGTGCACTGGAAGCTGAGGTGGGTTTTGGTCCAGGCCAAGGGGTGCCCCTGGTGGTCATTCACGTGTCGACAGAAACCTGTAGGGCTCAGGTAAGCCCTTTCCTACCAGAATGGGCCCCGCCCCGGCTGGCTTGCTGGGCGGGACAGCTCAGTCCTGGCCCCACCCTCAGCTGGAGGTGGAGGCTGCTCAGGTCTGAGTACCAGGTACTGCTGCCGGCTAGCCCATGGGGAACAGTCAGTGCGTCCCCCAGGCTCCCCGGAGGCTCCGTGCCTCCTTCTCCAGGAAACCGTCGATAAAGAGCACCAGGTGAGGGGCAGGGTGGGGGAGTGGAGCTGGGTCCTGGGTCCCCCCTAACCAGTCTGTGAGCCTTCCTTTCTGGTCTCCAGAGAGGATGGTTCGAGGAAGCTGGCCAGCCTGTTTGGCAACGAAGCTGGTCCTGATGGGGACACGGCAGCTGACAAGATCCTCTACTATATCCCGGGGATGGTGAGAGCGGGGAGGGGTATGGTTCTGGGGGCTGGGGGTGGGGGGAGGGACGACAAGATCTGCCACTATATCCTGGGGACGGGGGGGGGGGGGGGTGTGGGGTTCTGGGGGCTGGGGGTGGGGGGAGGGACGACAAGATCTGCCACTATATCCTGGGGACAGTGAGGCAGAGGGCAGTGAATGGGATGTTGGTGACCCAGGTTATATGGCTTGCCCACCAGTGTGGCTTGTGTGTGTTCATGCTCCTGCCAGCCTAGAGGGGTTCAGATCCAAAGACAGTGGGAACCAGACTCTACCCCATGGGCCTCTTCTGGGAGAGTCTGTTGGAGAGCGAAACCAGCCTGCTGACTGAGTCAGGGTGTCGTGAGCGGCACCAGGAAGGGGCGGGGCAGCGGGTGGGGCCGGGAGCGTTCCAGGGTGCCCAGGCCAGTGTCCAGACCTGCAGCCCACCAGCTTGGCCTGTCCTCATCCGTGCACCATAGGGTGTGCAAGACAGGCACCTACAATTTGAGTCATTGCTCTGGACATGGGCGCAAAGTTCATAGTGCAGCTGTGACCCTCACCTGTTATCACTAAGAAGTGAGAGGGTTGGGTAACAAGAGTATATTTCTCCTATGTTTCTCTTGTTCCTGGACCACTACCTACCCTCAACAGGCCCCCTACTTCCTGTATACCTCTTTATCCTCTTCCACCCCATCTTACAAACAGAGAGCTGGACACCAAGGCTACACCACAAAGAAGAAGCTCCCAAGCACAGTGACAGGCCACCTCTTGGAGGTGGCCCCAGCTCCTATGGGGTTTAAGGGTTAGTGGAATACCAGGGAGGGGAGGGGGAAAACTGTCTAGGACAGTCTGGTCTAGGTTCAGGGACTCCAAGACTGATAGGGAATCCCACACTGTAGTTCTCTTGGGGAGGGGGCCTGGATTGGTTCTGGAAAGGGAAGAGGCAGAACTAATTAGCCAGAAAGAGGCAGAAGGGAAAGGAAAGGACCCCCCACCCCCACCCCACCTGCAATTTCTTGCCTGAAATGTCTAGGGGAGGAAGAGTGGAACTTGCGCTCAGCTTTCCCCCAACTCCACCCCACCCCCTGTATCCCTGTGAGGGTTAGTTAGACAAGCCTCCTCCACGAGGCCATTCTCCATGGTCAGGGTCGCCAGTCACAAACTGGCACAGGGCTGTGATACCTTGAAACCACCTGGCGGGTGGCCTCTCCCCATCCCCCGCCCCCCACCTGCCAGGCCCAGGACTCCTTCAGTAGCCCTCACTGCCTTTTCTTGCCAGGACTCGATGGCTGGAGGGGGAAGAGCTTGTTGAACTTGGGCAGATGGGCAGGCAAACAGGTCTGTGGGTGGGTTCCTGGTTCTGTGGCCTATTTTCAGGTGTGCCAGCCCGACGTCAGCTCCCACACTGGGTGTGGCTGTGAAGGCCCCACCCAGGGGCAGGGTGGCCAAGGAAGCACTGCATCTGTCTGTTCACATTCCTGGGCTTGCCCAAGGGGCAGCTCAGTTTGGCCAGAGTAGCAGCTGTGTGGCAGTCCCGCAGGAGTGGCCCCTACTGGATACATGGAACCCCTCTCTGCAGACCAGCTCTGGCCCTCTGCTCTCAATCCAATGGTCAAACCCCATTTATGCAGGATTTTGTGTGCAAGGCGCTGGGTGGGCATGGGCCCCCCTCCCTTTCTCCCCTCTCTCCTTCAGCAGATAGGATGGAATCCCCAGCACTCTTGGCTCTAACGTGTGCCCAGGAAATTCAGCAGTGAACAAAGTAGGCAAAGACCCCTTTCCTTAGAGCCTTCCTGCTTGAAGTGGACAATGCTGACAAATGACTAGAAAGTGCAGCATGTGAGCTTCAGCCAGTTAGCTGAGGAGAAAATTGGGGGCCACGGAGGGAGTGGGCTAGGTAGCCAGGCAGCAGCAACAGTGAGTGTAAGACCCTCAGGCCAGCTTGTACTGCTGTGAGGGAAACAAGGGAAGGTCATGAAGGCCCCTCCAGGCCTTGGCCAGGATCTTGACTTTGTGTCTGAGGTGAGGGAGACCCCATTATGTTTGGACTCAAACCAGAGGGCTGTCTTTAAGCTCTGAGTTCAAAGACATCATTTTGGCAGTTTGAAATGGTAAGAGTTTTTACACCACAGAAATTGGCAAAGAATGGAAACCAGAGTCAGTTTGAGGGATTTGGAGGAGGACAACCAGGTGTTAAACATTTACCAACTGGAGACATAGGAGGGTTTGAGCAACATCTCACCCAAACACTTGCAAAACCCCTTTGACTGGTGAGTCTTGACAGTTTAAGTAGCCAAATCTAAGTCACACAGCTGAGGAATTTCTATAGTGAGGAGTGCAACCATTTGAGTCCAAACCTCATCACCCCTACCACCAGAGCATCTCACTGTGTGGTGATGTGTCTTTGTGCATGTGTGTGGATGGCTGGGTGTGCAATGTGAGCATGCGTGTAGGATAGAGTGATGTGACTGACCCCACGTATATCTGCCTGTCCCAGCTTGCACATCGGACAGTTCTGAGGACTAGTCTGTGTGTCTGTGTGGTTCTATCACACCCTCTGGATGTGCCCTGTGTCACCTTCTTCCCAAAGTCACCCCTTAGACCCTGTGCAAACCCTCAAACCTTCTAGTCCCTAAGCCCTCCCTGGCTTTTCTAACTAGCTTCTTGCTGCCTTTATTCATGTTGTCATAAGTCTGTGCTTGTTTTATCCTACTAGACTGGGAGACAAGTTTGTCCCAGCGCCTAGGTCAGGGACCTGCCAGTGGCTGGAGAAAGAAGTGTCCATTAAGGGAGAGGTCTACGAGAGCCCGAGGGCTTCAGCTTCTGCCCCTCTGGTGCAGATGAGCATGTCACCAGGCCTGTTGCATGCCTGGGACACGTACAGGTCTCAGACACAGGTCTCACCCTAGAGTGGGCTGGTTTCCCTAAGTTTTGCCCCTGCCACCCAGGACATCCCAGGCCTGGAGGGCCAGCGAGAAGCCCTAGACCAGCCACTCCTGAGTGTATTCAAGAAGGGGCGGCGGAAGGTGCCCGTGAGGAACCTGGGCAAGGTTCTGTACTACGCCAAGGTCCAGCTGCGATTCCAGCACAGCCAGGTGGGGGCCCTGGGCAGGTGGGGGCCCAGCCAGGTGGGCTGCCCTTGGGACCAACCTCTTGCTGCTCCTGGACCTTCAGACTGCCTGCTCTCCTTCCAGGACACCAGCGATTGCTACCTGGAACTGTTCCCCTCCCACCTCTACTTCCAGGCCCATGGCTCAGATGGCCTCACATTCCAGGTAAGGGGAAGGGTGGTCAAGAAAGCAGGCTGCCCTGTGGATAGCTGAGGTATGGGGTAGGTGGGGTAAGGGAGAATGCTAGTAAGCATCCACAGACCCTCCATCCTAACCCCTACCCCCATGCCCTGGCAGGGGCTGTTACCATTGACAGAACTGAGCGTCTGCCCGGTTGAAGGGTCTGCAGAGCATGCCTTCCAGATCACAGGTAGGGGGATATGAAGTCAGCAGGGGGAACCCACTGGAACCAGAAAACACTAATCCCCATGGGGCTACTCTATCCAATCAAGCCAGGCTTCACATAGGTACGGTGGCCTTGGGCATGTTGACTGGGATTGGGGGCAGCCCTCGGCCTCTGTGGGATATAAGCGCAAGTCCATGGGCGAACTGGGCTCGGACTGAGTAACATCAGGTTGAGGGATCCACAGAGCTGTGGTGTGGCTGTCTCTCTGCTGAGCCCTCTCCTTTCTTGAGGCCCAGCACTTCTAGCTGCCCACCACCCACTCACCCACTACAGGCCCACTGCCCGCCCCCCTCCTTGTGCTCTGCCCCAGCACCACCGAGCGCACCCGCTGGCTCTACCACCTAGAGAAACAGATGGCCCTTGCTGGGGGGCTGCGGCGCTGCCACTCAGCACCCCCGCAGGTCAGTACCCAGCCCCCACTTCTGCCCTACCCCAGCTTTGCTCCTTGGCCTGTCCTAACTGCCCCACTTGGCCAGGGCCCCACTGGGGACGAGCTCCCATGGACCCTACGACACCAGCTGACACAACTGCGGGTGGTGTCAGGACAGGAGTCAGGAGGGAATGCCATCTGTGCCTCGAGGGTCAAGCTGCAGCATCTGCCCTCACAGGTGGGCAGGCAGGGCTAGAGGGGGTGGCTGGGGGAGGGGTGTGAGGACCCTGGGGGGTGGGATGAGAAGGGAATGGGGCAAGGATGTGAAGAACCTGGGGGGCAGGGGACAGGTGGCCTGGTCTTCAGTGCCAGGCAGCTCTAGTCCTGCCCTCTGCCCCCCACCCCCACCCCAACACACACACACAGGAGCTGTGTGACCGGCTCCTGGTTTTGTACCCGACCTCCTTGGCCATCTTCTCTGAAGAACCAGATGGGCTTAGCTTCAAGGTGGGCCCCTCCCCTCTCTGGCGACCTGCCCAGGGAGACACCCTGTGCGTAGGGGTGGGAGGGGGTTGAGACTCAAGAGGAACCTGTATTTCGGGACCTGTTGGGACAGAGCATGCTGGCCCTGCCTGCCCTGCCCCACTGCCCTGGTCAGTCTGGTCTCAGCTTAGACGTGGGCACAGAGTAGCTCCTGCCTTGGGAACCTATGTCATCCTGGAGGGTGGTCCAGTCAGACCAGAAAGACAGTGCCCAGCTCCCAGCAAGCCCTCCACTTCCCTGAGAGCAATTAGAGACCATCTTCCTGCTCTGAGAGTCAGCTGAGCCTGCGTGTGTAATCTGAAGGTGGGCATGTGCTTGTGTGTGAGTCTGTTTGAGTTCAAGCATCTGTGTCTGTGTGTTTGTGTGTGATGCAGTTTTTCTGTGTATGTGCAATCTTATGTGTGGCCCCATGTGTGTATGCATGCATGATCCTGTGTGTAGGCATACGTGTATATGTGTGGTCCCGTGTATGTGCGCAACTTATGTGCATGGAAATCCATGTGTGTATGTGTGTGATCCCATCTGGTGTGGTATCATGTGTGCAGTGGTACATGTGTATATGTACACAGCCTATCTGTACCCCCATGCACATATATGTGTGTGTATACATATGACCCCATATGTGTCTGCATTTTGTGTGTGGTCCTGTGTGTGTGTGTGTGTGTGTGTGCACATGGCATGTGCATGTGTGCTTGGTCCTATGTGTGTGTAGGTCTGCCCTCTGGGGTCTGCATGCATCTGTTTGCCTCCAATCACAAAAAGACACACAGAAGTGGGTGGGGCTTATGATGGGAGCAGTGACGGTGACTGAGGGGACCACATAGTTGGTCTGTCTGCCCTCAGCTGACAAAGGCCCCAGAGATGGGGTGAGGATGCCTCCAGGATGAGCTGGAAGGCACAAGTCTCACCTCAAGTCTCAGCCTCTTTTGCTGACCTTGCTCAGCGTCCTCAGTACTTTCCAGCAACTTCACCACCCCCAGCTCACTCACTCACCTATGCTCTGGAGGGCATGGCCAATAAAAAGGGATATGCAGGGGAAGGGGACTGATGCCAACCTCACTTCTGTACAGGGGGAGCTCCCAATCAGCGCCATTCACATCAACCTAGAGGAGAAGGGGAAGCAAATCCGCTCTTTCCTGATCGAAGGTGGGGTTGACCTCAGACCCTTTCTCCTGCCCTGACCCAGTGGGCCTATTGGGAGTGGGGTGGCCTTCAGTGGACTTCAAGCGACCCCTGGCCTCACGCATGTCTGTGTACAGGTCGTTTTATCAACTCCATCCGTGTGGTATGTGCCAGCTACGAGGACTATGGCCACTGGGTGCTCTGTCTCCGGACCGCTGTCCTCAGGGACCGGGGCTCTGCCCTGCCAGGGCCAGTGCCTCGAGTACCCATGCAGGTGAGGGGCTGGCTGGAAAGATTGGCCAGAGGCAGCTCATAGTCCCTCTGAGGTTCCAGTCCCAGCATGGTAAAAACCAGGGACAGAAAGGTGGGTCTAGCATGGGCAGGTGGGAGAGGGGCCAGCCACCCAGCTCACCCCCTCAATGTCCAGGTTGTAGGTGGTGGTCGAGGCTCCCTCTCCTCGGATGGACGGACCAGTTGGGGCTCTGGGTGTCCAGCACCCCCCTCCACCCGCACCAGTCACTCCCTCCCTGAGTCTACACTGCCACCCCCTGCAGTCTGCCAGGTCCAGCCTGGCGCCGTGAGTACCCTGTGGGCAGGAGGCCACAGTTAAGAGTGTGTTGGGAAACCTGGGTCCCCACGACACATGTCTGAAGCCTAGAACCTTGGGGAGGGAACCCAACCAGAAGTTGCTCTGTGCAGTCTCGGAGGGTTGTGTGTGGGAGGGGTGTGGTGAGAACCTTTCTGGAAGGGTTTTGGTCCTCACAGGACAAGGCTGATCCAGGCTACGCCAGCATCAGCCGACGGAGGTCAGAGCTGAGACGAGGGGGCAGCAGCAGGTCACCTAAGAACAAGGCCAAGGGTGGCCCAGCCACCCCACTGCACTTAGACCTGGACCTGACCAAGGTGGGCCACAGCACCATCACCCTGGCCCCAGCCCTCTCTCCGCTTTGTTTCCCTGGCTCTGCTCTCTGCGTCTCCCAGCCTGTAGCAGAGAAGGGAGAACTCAGGCCCCTCCCAGCTCAAGGGAAAATGCTCTTTCTGGCTGCTTTCCCATAGCTGAGCAGACTAAGCTTGGAGGGGGGCCCAGATGACCCTTTGGAGCCGCCACACTCACCACTCTATGCTGACCCCTACACCCCACCTGCCACCTCCCACCACAAGATCACAGACGTCCGGGGCCTGGATGAGGTCAGTTCCCTTTTGGGTGAGAAAAGCTGGGTGCCTGAAGCCTAAGGTCTTGGGTCTGGGGTGTGTTGGCCTGAGGCCCAGACTCCTGTTTTCTGCTAGGGCCATGAGGGGAGGCTAAGGGTGCCTCTGGGCCTCTAGTCACCCAGGCTTTTCCGACAGTTCCTCAGTGCCATGCACAGTGCCTCTGGACCAGAGCCAGCAAGTGTCTTCCCTGCTGTCCCTGTGTCTGTGCCCATCTCTGACCCCAGCCCCCCCGGCCCTTCCAGCCCCCCTGGCCCCCACCTGCTCTCCAAGAAGGGGGTCCTGCAGGCTCGTGCCCCTCAGAGGTTACAAGGCTCCTTCAAGGGCCGGGGGCCAAGGCCCCCAGACTCCCCTCAGCTTGTGAGTAGCAGCCCAGCCTGGTTTGAGGGGCGGTGCAGGGAAGGGAATAGTCTTGCAGGGGGAAGGGTGGGCACACGGAGGAAGGGGAGGTGGGGAGGGAGGGGATGCACAATGTATTGTAGTGGGAGAGATGGTAGTGGGGGGAGGGGTCGTGTGGGAGAGGGGTCAAGTGGAATTTTCCACATCTGCATAGAGGTGGGGTGGTAGAGAGAGGGAACAGACGGCAACAGAACTGGGGCAGGGAGACTTGGGGTAAGAAGGAGAAGCAGCAGGACCAGAAGGCTAAGGGACATCTAGCAGATTGGATGAATGAGTCTGCTCCCAGTTCCCCCCCAACCTACCTCCCCTGGGGCTTGGCCTGGGACTGGGCTGTAAGGCTGAAATGTTGGCCTCAGACTGGCTGTTTGGGGCCCCTAGGTCTCCACTTCGAGGGAAGGTTCACCTGTCTCCCAGCCTCCTCCTCCAGGTAAGTGAAGAGTCTGTCTTCCCCTGGGCCTGGGGAGGATCAGGCTCCCTTAGGCTCTGTCTGACACATCTCTGCCTGCCCCCTGGCCCCCAGCTGGCTGCTCCCCCCGGAGGCGTGCAGGTCCTAGTTACAACAGTGCCTGGGATGAGGCTGCAGCATCCTCACGTCAGAAGTGGCCCCGGTCAGGTGCACCTGAGGCTGAAGGGGCCTTGACCCAGTGGATCTGAGGGTGTCACAGTGCTGGGACTATGGACTTCTCAAAGGCAACCACACCAGCCACCAAACCTGGAGAGATCTGCCTTTGTCCAGGGGTCCAAGTCTGACCATCCATTGTCCCCTTTGATATGCTAAATCCCAGGCCAGGGTCTAGACCCTGGGGCCCCTACCTTGGGGCTCTGGTTCCTGGTAGCATTCAGCAGCTGGAGTGTTGGGATGGGGGGCTGGTCCCCAGGGGTATTCTAGCCAGTATGGAAAGACAGCAGATGGGGAAGGTCATCAGTGTAGGCTCTCAGCCCTGCCCCCAGGCAGAAATTAGGGAGGGGAGCTGATAGGGGCTTTTCCTGGGGGCCAGAGAGGTGAAAAAGTCAGGTGAGCCAGGGTCAGTGTATGTGAGGTCAAAGAGCAGATGTGAGGGAACATGAAGGTCTAGGTCAGAAAGGTTGAATCATCTCAAGTGGAAAGGTGAGGGTGTAATAGCAGGGAAACTAGGCTCTCAGTTTTACTTGGGCCTGTATAAGTGGAGATAGGGCCGTCGAGAGAGACTGGCACCACTAAACCAGAAGGAAAGAAAAGGAGATTTTATTGGTTCTCTGTGTGTCCACGTGTTGCCCTCTCAACGGCCGTCCTCAACCCTAAGCCCATAGAGCCCTGTGCTCCCACCACTCTGCCCACTTCAGACTTCTCCGCCACCGCCACATCACCAGTGGGATTCCTGGGACAATCCCAGGTCCCAGCCCTGACCTAGTGCCTTGCATCTGCCTCTGTACCCTCCACCCAGGACCTCCCAAAGTTGGGTTGAGACTCCACCCTAGAGACCCCCATCCTGCGGGGGCTGCCTGCTGTCTTTTGCCCCCTTGAGTCCCTGCTCCCTGTCTCAGTCCCTCAGATGCTGCCTTGACCACAGCCCTTGGGGCGCAGAATAGCTTCAGAGGCCCTTGACAAGCCCCCCCCCCCAGTATATAGGTCAAGGAGTCCTGGGACCCCCCTGACCTTGCAGCCCCAGCCTCTTACCTTCCCTACCTGCCTGACTTCCCGCTGGGTCCTAGCTGCTGTCCTGACCCCATCCTGTCCACCCCTCATCTTGGAGTTGTCAAGGTGGAGTACAGTTGAGCCACAGGACACTCACCAGTCTAAGTATGCACACCACTACATGCTTGAAGTTCACATTCCTCTCAGCACCCTAATTTCATTTGCTGAAATCGGCTTATCTCTCCACTGCTCAGCTCCCTGCTCCAGAGCCACCCTAGGGAGGCCTCAGCCTTGGTCACTGGCTGGACCCTCTGGTAGAGTCAAGGAGGGACCCAGGACCAGGACACCAGCCCCTGCCTCAATGCCCTGACCAAATGGAAGACAGGATCAAGGTCCAAAGGGCAGTGCTGGCACCTATGACTGGCTTCTGGTCTTGCTGTCTTCCTGGGCAGGGCCTGACTCCTAGGAGCGGGGGTTGCTGCTGGAACTGGGGCTGCGGCTGGGACTGGGGCTGCGGCTGGGACTGGGGCTGCGGCTGGGGTTGGGGCTGGGACTCGGGCTGGGGTGCCCCCGTGCCACCTGCCGGCGGAAGTATCGGATGGCGGAGATGGTGCCGATGTTTGCCAGCAAAACTGCAAGAGAAATGCCAAGCCCTTGAGCACTGGCTGTCACCTGCCACCCTGTTTCTGCCCATTAAGATTCCACCCTCAAAGGGTCAAAGTGGGTCTACAGTGGGAGGAGCAAGGTCAGAGGAAAAACCTAGAAAGCCTGTCCCATCTCCCCCACCCCCTGCTGTGCACAGGGCCCCAGATGTGGTCTCCTCTAACTTCAGGGCTCCAGCCCCTCCCTTCTCCAAGGGTCTTCAAACCTGTTTTCCAAGCATCTGGGGTGTGCAGATCTGATGTCCTCACAGCCCAGGTGGCAAAAGCCACAAACACCAAGCACATGTCACTCTGGCTGAAGGTAAATGCAGGGAGGGGACTACGGGGCTCCCCTAGGAAAAAGAGGTACACATCTGCTCCAGCTGTTCTGCTTAGAGGCATTCCTGCCCTGGACACCTCCATCCCCAGCATGTCTACCCCTGACATTCCTGTCCCCAAGATGCCTGTCCCGTGTGGCCTCTAGCCTCAACACATTTGTACTGAGTTACATCTGTCACAAGTCACACCTATTCCAAAACTCCTGACACGTCTGTCCCCAACATGTCTGTTCTGAGTCATGTCTGTCCCTGACACATTTGAGTCACGTCTCCCCTGTGATGCGGTCTCCCAAGACACTAGGTGGCGTGTGCATAGTTGAGTTAGGGTGACGTGGGGCAGTCCCTCTGTGAGCCTTCCTTCCCAATAATTGCCTTCCAGAGGTGACAGGAGACTAGGCATGTGAGGGTGAACACGCTGGTCTGGGCAGGCAGTCAGTCAGGCCTGAGTAAGAGTCCCCTCCAAAAGGCCACAGTCTTTGGTGTGGCCAGGAGCTGTCCCTTCCTTTCTCACTGGTCTTAGCTCCTCCTCCCTTCAGCTTAGGACCTGGGTTCTGTTGCCCCTCTAGGTCCTCCCAGCTCCTCCCTGGCCACCCTCCTGGCTGAGCTCCCTGGACAATGTGTTCCCAGGACCTGACCATGGGGCCTCCTGGCACTCACCTGCCCGCCAGTTCACCAGGCTGAGCTCCGCTGCGGCAACCACACTAGGCTCAGGTGGGGGAACCATCTCCAGCATGCGCCCCCACCTTTCCTCCTCAAAGAAGTGCTCATAGGCCTCAGGGACAGAGATGGGCATGGGGTCTCCAGGCGGAAGGGCTGGTGCACGCTCTGTTGGCAGGTTGGAGGCTAGGGCACAGCCCCCGTGTGGCCTTAGCCTCTGGGCCCTGCAGTCCTGGAAGAAGAACTCACAGACATCGGGCCACTGCACGTTCTCTGGGACCTGGCCAGATGCCCCCTCCTCAGCATCCTCGTCCTCCTCCTCTATAGTGTCACAAAACAGAAACTCATAGGCTTCCGGGAGGGTCAGGGCAAAGCTCCCTGACCTGGGACCCCCTGAGGTGGAGGGAGCAGGGGGAGGCAGATGCTTGAGGATCCGAGGCTGTGGGGGCCGGGGTCTGACCGCCACAGCGTCCCAGGCCCCTGGTGCCACCCGAGATCCCACTGTCATCCTGGTTGGCGAGGGTGGGCCTGGGGCTGTCCCTTGCTCTAGCTCCTCAGGGCTAGGCACAGCCATGGAGAATCGAACCTTCTTCCTCTTGGGGACCTGGGTGGGACCTGTGGGGGGTTCCCCTGACAGGTGTTCAGGAGCATCTGGCAAGGGCTCGGGTCCTGGTGAGGACACAGTAGGGCTCACATCCGGTCCAGGCAGGGCCTCAGGGATGGAGGACCGGGAGGGGGCAGGCATGGTTGCTCGGGAGGCAAGCGTGAACACATCCACGCCAGACTTGTCCTGGAGAACGGGGTGCAGCAGAGCTGAGTCAGGTGTAGAAGGGTCCACATGTGATTTGACCTCTGGGACCAGTGTAGGCAGATCCACACCCAGCCTAGGCTTGGACAGCGGTGTAGACAGAGTCCTATCCAGTGGAAGCTGGGAGACAGGTGCAGATGGGTCTACATGTGACTTGACCTCTGGGACCAGTGTAGGCAGATCCACACCCAGCCTAGGCTTGGACAGCGGTGTAGACAAAGTCCCATCCTGGGGAGGCTGGGAGACAGGTTTAGATGTGTCCACCGGTGACTTGACCTCTGGGACCAGTGTAGGCAAATCCACACCCAGCCTAGGCTTGGACAGCGGTGTAGACAAAGTCCCATCCCGTGGAAGTTGGGAGACAAGTGTAGATGGGTCTACTGGTGACTTGACCTCTGGGACCAGTGTAGGCAGATGCACACCCAGCCTCAGCTTGGACAGTGGTGTAGACAGAGTCCCATCCAGTGGAAGCTGGGAGACAGGTGCAGATGGGTCCATATGTGACTTGACCTCTGGGACCAGTGTAGGCAGATCCACACCCAGCCTTGGCTTGGACTGCGGTACAGACAGAGTCCCATCCGGTGGAAGCCGGGAGACAGTTGCAGATGTGTCCACCGGAGACTTGACCTCTGGGACCAGTGTAGGCAGATCTACACCCAGCCTAGGCTTGGACAGCGGTGTAGACAGAGTCCCATCCCGGGGAGGCTGGGAGACAGGTATAGATGTGTCCACCGGTGACTTGACCTCTGGGACCAGTGTAGGCAGATCCACACCCAGCCTTGGCTTGGACTGCGGTGTAGACAGAGTCCCATCCTGTGGAAGTCGGGAGATAGGTGCAGATGTGTCCACCGGAGACTTGACCTCTGGGACCAGTGTAGGCAGATCCACACCCAGCCTAGGCTTGGACAGCGGTGTAGACAGAGTCCCATCCGGTGGAAGCTGGGAGACAGGTGCAGATGGGTCCACATGTGACTTGACCTCTGGGACCAGTGTAGGCAGATCCACACCCAACCTAGGCTTGGACAGCGGTGTAGCCAAAGTCCCATCCCGGGGAGGCTGGGAGACAGGGATAGATGTGTCCACCGGTGACTTGACCTCTGGGACCAGTGTAGGCAGATCCACACCCAGCCTAGGCTTGGACAGTGGTGTAGACAAAGTCCCATCCCGGGGAGGCTGGGAGACAGGGATAGATGTGTCCACCGGTGACTTGACCTCTGGGATCAGTGTAGGCAGATCCACACCCAGCCTAGGCTTGGACAGTGGTGTAGACAAAGTCCCATCCCGGGGAGGCTGGGAGACAGGTATAGATGTGTCCACTGGTGACTTGACCTCTGGGACCAATGTAGGCAGATCCACATCCAGCCTTGGCTTGGACAGTGGTATAGACAGAATCCCATCCAGTGGAAGCTGGGAGACAGGTGCAGATGGGTCGACATGTGACTTGACCTCTGGGACCAGTGTAGGCAGATCCATACCCAGCCTCGGTTTGGATAGCGGTGTAGACAGAGTCCCATCCCGTGGA